CTGTTGTTGCGCACGTGCCACCTGTTGTTGCGCGCGTGCCACCTGTTGTTGAGCACGTGCCACCTGTTGTTGCGCACGTGCCACCTGTTGCACACGTGCCACCTGTTGTTGAGCACGTGCCACCTGTTGTTGCGCACGTGCAACCCGTTGCGCACGTGCCACCTGACCGCCGAGGTCCGCTCGTAGAGTCTCAATGTCATCATCGTCGCCGTCGTCACCGTGTTGACTCGAGGTGGTTGTCCTCGTTATGGCCCAGTGGTTCTTAACCTTGACTGCAGCCTTGCACCCCTTTTGGTTCGCAATCGGTTTTTAAAAATAAAAAAAACTGTTTGTTAATCAATACGTAGGTTTGATTAAACAAAGCAGTGTTTACTTCACGTGCCCGCGCTTAAGTTGTGTTTTCGATGAGTTACCTTCGAAAAAAGATCTGGCCAGGTCTCGCACCCCCAGCGGGTGCAGCGTGCACCCCAGGTGAATAACCACTGTTATAGACTCACCCCCCCCACCACCACCACCACATGAATGTTCGTGCTGCTCAATTGAGGACATCTCTGACTTTGTGTCGTTGTTGACCGTCTGTCTCTGTGCCTCTCTCTCTCTCTGTGCCAGTCTGCAATGCCCGTCGACCCGCCTGCCTCTGTCTACCGAAGTTATCTGTCTGTGTGTGTCTCGCTGGCACCCTGCCCACTCGTGTCAGCGCTGTGTGCTTGCATGGACGCACTGGGGCACAGCACTGCAACCCACTGGCTTAGTAACGACATTTTCAGCTCAGGGGGTTGCACCAATCGGTCAAGTAGGAGCCCCAATATTTGATCCGTCTCACACACGCTCGCACCTCGGCTGTGACGAATCGCGGCTCCTCTTTTGCCTAAATCGCATCGTCGTTACGCTCACACGGTCTCGGACACTTAACGCTGTAGGGGAGAGCTGCGTATGCGCAAAAATAAGTGCTTCGTTCTTTTACACCGTTTGTTTTAAAAAACATATCTCGAGGTGGCTGTCAAGGGGGCCTCCCCCCCCCCCCCCCCCCCACAACAACCCCCAACTCGTAACTTTGGCCACCTGGATTCGAAGCGTGAACGATGATCGAGTGCGCCACCCGCTAAGGCCGGGGGGTTGGCAACCTGCGGGTCTCCAGAGCCAAGCGCGCGGTGCCTCTTTAAGGAGCGCAGCGCGGCTCTTGAAATTCAAAAAAATAATCAACGTGGCTCTTCTTGTTACTTTGGTTGCCTACCCCTGACCATGGAAGTCTGGTTTACCATGGGAGTCCGGTTTACCATGGGAGTCCGGTTTACCATGGGAGTCCAGTTTACCATGTGACGGGGTCGGCCATTGCAAACAGGGTGGGGAGGTGAGGTGGGAGGGTGGGGTGGGGGCAGGGTTGATTCTGAAACTGTTGGGGGAGTGGTGGGGGAGTAATGGGTGGTGGTGCTGGTGGTGCTGGTGGTGGTGCTGGTGGTGCTGCTGGTGGTGCTGCTGGTGGTGCTGCTGGTGGTGGTGCTGGTGGTGCTGCTGGTGGTGCTGGTGGTGGTGCTGGTGGTGCTGGTGGTGCTGGTGGTGGTGCTGGTGGTGCTGCTGGTGGTGCTGGTGGTGCTGGTGGTGGTGCTGCTGGTGGTGCTGCTGGTGCTGCTGGTGGTGGTGGGAGGAGGGCAGGGTTTGGCATTTGGCTGTGGCACGCGAGTTTGTAAACACAAACTTCTGCTTTTTTTGCCCTCCACTTTTTCAGTCGGCGTCTGCAAAACTCTTCCAGCCCTCCCCCCCCCCCCCAAGAAAAGTGGAACACGGCAAGCTGCACCGACGGCCACATTGCTTACGTCTGCATGGCCGGCCTTGTGCGTGTGTGCCTGCCCTAGGTCGACTCAGCCTCAACTGAGTACCTGGGTGCAGTGTGTAAAACATCGCGTGCGCACGTCCTGCATAGGTTGCTACTCGCTAACAGCACTTGCCCCAAGTCTGTTAAGACTATATGGGATATCTTTGTCTTGTGCGTGTGTGTATTCGTGGAGCGGTAGTGGTGGGTTAGCGCGCTGCATTACTAAGCTGGCAACCAGTGACGATTATCTGAACCGGTCCCGGGCCTCCCCTGGGTCGACTCAGCCTCAATTGAGCACCTGGGTGCGGTGTGTAAACATCGCCACTAGGAATACAACGGCGGCCGGGCGTGTTGCTGGCCACCCACCTTCCTGTCGCCTTCTTCTGAGTACTCCCCAGGTCGAGGGGCTTTCTGCTCTCTAGAGGCAGGGGGTGATTGCGATTTTTTTTTCCCAGTGCCGCTCCCAAACGTTGTAACAACGCTCACTGCCCCTTTGCTAATAAGACGATCAGAGTCGTTAGAGATATTTAAGTCTTTGTCTTGAAAAGTCACCTCTTTAAAATTGCCTCTTACCCCCTAGAGTTCTGGCCGTTTACCCCGGTTCTGAGTGGGTGAGTAGGTGGGTGGGTGAATGGGTTAGTGAGTGGGTGAGTGGGTGAGTGAGTTGGTGAGTGGGTGACTGAGTGGGTGAGTGGGTGACTGAGTGGGTGTGTGAGTGGGTTAGTGAGTGGATGAGTGGGTTAGTGAGTGGGTGAGTGTGTGAGTGGGTGGGTTAGTGAGTGGGTGAGTGAGTGGGTGAGTGGGTGAGTGCGTGAGTGAGTGGGTGGGCCGTTTACTCCGGTTCTGAGTGGGTGAGTAGGTGGATGGGTGAGTGGGTTAGTGAGTGGGTGGGTGAGTGAGTGGGTTAGTGAGTGGGTGAGTGAGTGGGTGAGTGAGTGGGTGAGTAGGTGGATGGGTGAGTGGGTTAGTGAGTGGGTGGGTGAGTGGGTGGGTGAGTGGGTTAGTGAGTGGGTGAGTGGGTGAGTGGGTGGGTGAGTGGGTGAGTGGGTGAGTGGGTGGGTGAGTGGGTGGGTGAGTGAGTGGGTGAGTGGGTGAGTGCGTGGGTGAGTGGGTAACTGAGTGGGTGGGTGAGTGGGTGAGTGGGTGGGTGAGTGGGTGAGTGGGTGGGTGAATGGGTGAGTGGGTGGGTGAGTGGGTGAGTGGGAGGGTGAGTGGGTGGGTGAGTGAGTGGGTGAGTGGGTGGGTGAGTGGGTGAGTGGGTGGGTGGGTGGGTGAGTGGGTGAGTGGGTGGGTGGGTGAGTGGGTGAGTGGGTGGGTGAGTGGGTGAGTGGGTGGATGAGTGGGTGAGTGGGTGAGTGGGAGGGTGAGTGGGTGAGTGAGTGGGTGAGTGGGTGGGTGAGTGGGTGAGTGGGTGAGTGGGTGAGTGGGAGGGTGAGTGAGTGGGTGAGTGAGTGGGTGGGTGAGTGGGTGAATGGGTGAGTGGGTGAGTGGGAGGGTGAGTGAGTGGGTGAGTGAGTGGGTGAGTGCGTGGGTGAGTGGATGGGTGACTGAGTGGGTGGGTGGGTGAGTGAGTGGGTGAGTGGGTGGGTGAGTGGATGGGTGAGTGGATGGGTGAGTGGGTGGGTGAGTGGGTGGGTGAGTGAGTGGGTGAGTGAGTGGGTGAGTGGACGGGTGAGTGGGTGGGTGAGTGGGTGGGTCGTTTACTCTGCAGGTTCTGTTTCCTGCTTCCCAAACACGCTGTGTTGTCCTTCCCCCGCACCTCTGTTCATCACGGTTGGCTGTGTACGGTGCGAAATAAGTCAATCATACACAAACGGTGGCGCATTGGGAACTCCAGATCAAATGCGCCATTTTACAAACGTAAATCATTGTTATTATTACTGTTCTCCGATCCCATAAATCAGACGACCAGGTGATTTGACCATGCCCCTCCACGCCGGTCAGTGGCAGTTCTCAATCAGAATGTTTATTTATACTAGCGATCCGATAAGCTATTAATCTCTTTTTCACAGATGTTCAGTCATCTGTGTCCAGTTATCTGGAGAGATTTTTTTTTAAAGCTGGTGGAGGAGACCATAGATTGAGGAGCACAGTGCAGTACAACGATTGACTGTCGCTACACTTGCCCTCTGCTCACAACGCTGCAACCAGCAACCTGCGGGCGCCCCATCCAAAAAAACTCTCCAAGCTCAACTCTGCTCAGCTTAAGGTCTGACGTTGCAGGCGCGTTGCGTTGGAAAATGTTGGTGGCCACGTATTAGTTATCCATTATATAGGTTTTTTTTGGGGTCAGATCGTGTGTCGTTAAACCTTCCACCACCCGACACAGCTAATTAGTAAGCTTTGTCACGTAAACAGAACATGCAAATTCGTTACTAGTTCAGCACACCGGTGTGTTGGAGAGCAAATGCACAACATTTACAATAACCCAACCAGCAATGGATACCCATTGTAATTTATATGCATTCATTTATCCCCCCCCCCCCCCCCTTCACACGTGAAGGGCTCACATGTGACGTAATCAAATCTACGAAAAAGGATTTTCTCCACAAATCTGGCTATCGCCTGATGAAGCTGGTTGTAATTACTGGCGAAACGTCGTACTCAGATTGTTAATGTTGTGGCTTTGCTCTCCAACACACCGGTGTGTTGTACTAGTAACGAATTGGCCACGTTCTGTTTACCCGACAAATCTTACTAATTGGCTGTGTCGGGTGGTGGGCGGGTTTAATGACACATTTATATATTTACGCGATCTAACCCAAAAAAAAAACCTATATTATGGATATTGCTCGCGAAAGCCTGCGTCGTATTCAAATGGATTGGTTAGTTGATCAAGGTGCGTCATATTTCATCTGTGTTCGTCAGTGCAAATTCATCCTTCCCCCCCCCCTCCCCCGAGCGATAACAAACAGGCAGGCGGCGGACATTGGCGTGAATTTGCAGCCACTTTCCCAGCCACTCTCTCAGCCACTTTTCCAGCCACTTTCCCAGCCACTTTCCCAGCCACTCCCTCTGCAATCCGTGCCACACAAAGCTCGGGTGGGCCGGGAAAATTCTGAATATCGGACGCATTCGCGTCTTACCAGCGGGTGATGTTCTGAAATGGGCAAGGCGCTCCAGGGAGCTGTCCTACTGAACGGAACCATGAAGGGCGAGGGCGCATCGAATCGCGGAGCGAGCGGTGCGGGAAGCGATTTTTTATTTTTCTAACAAACGCGACTTTAACATCGCAGGCGCGAGCGACAAGGCGGTGTCTTTAAAAAAAAAATCACTCGATTGTGTTTACAGCACAAGGTGGAATCTACAGCAAAACGGGCGTGAACTTACGCTAAAGTGTTAGTGGAACCTTACGTGCGTTCACCGCTGTGTGTGTCACAACGGTGAACGCGACCAACACAACCCGCACACGTTGAACAACAAGTAACAAGGGTAATATCCATCACGTAGGTCTCGTGCGATTCATAATTAGTGTCTTTTGGAAACGGATCGTCGCGTAGGTCATAACGTCAATTTGTTGATATCAACAACTCACAGCCACAGACTTGGTTTTAATAATTTTGTTTACCTGTACAAGAATTGTTTTTTTTTGCACGTTAAACCACGTGTTGATGGCGCTTTGGGTAGTAGGCTTGTGCCAGAGAGCCCTCCGCGCCTCCTCCATCCAACATCATCACCACCACCCACCCAGCCCTCCTCCTCCCTCCTCCTCCTCCTCTTCCAACATCAACACCCAGCCCTCACCCTCTGGTATCTCGTTTGCTCGCATCGTGACAACTCGATTTGATTGCCTCTGTCGCTGGATGTGTGGAGTCTTCTCGTTACACCATCTGACATTATAACCTGCACGATGATCCCAACTCAACAGTAAACTAATTACTAAATCGTAACATAGGTCGTGAGAGCCTACGTCTGTATATATATATTTATTTTTAAACAGTCACCAAGTATTTTTTTTCCCCCCCCCCCCGAAACGCGACGATTCTCCAACACTCAGGAGGAGGGTCCCGCTACAGCTTTGCCGAACGTTTGGCACAGACTCCTCTTTTGAAGAACGAGCGTGGCGCTTCACGCGCGAGGAAAATCCCCACCGGCACTCGGTGCTCGGCGCTTCCCCGGTCAGCGCTCGGCGCTCCGGCTCGCAGACCCCCAGACCCACTTGCCGCTGCGCGCTGCCACCCCCTGGCACCTCGCAGCGGCCCGGCATGGGGGGGGGGGGGGGGGGGGTCTTTCGAAGTCGCACAGATCTGCACGCGATCCACCAATCCTCGCCACCTAAAAGTTCTGGACGGCAGGCACCGTGCTGCTGCCCAGGCTGCCCCTGGGGGCTCGTTGTTGTGGTGGTGGTTGTTGTTGTTGTTGTTTATCCTGTTTGTAGTGAATTCAGGCATGGGTTTTATGTAAATAATTGACTTGCGCTCTAGATAGTTTACACGTTCTCTCCACCACCCATAATGCCCTGGAGTCGACGCCACTGCCTACAGTCTTGGGCTGTGGCCTGCGAGTCTCTATGTAACTCGATGGGTCTCTATATGATAGCTCTACGGATCTTTACGTAACTCTATGGATCTCTATGCAACTATGCAACTCTACGGATCTCTATGTAATGCTACGAATCTCTATGCAACTCTATGAAGGCAGCGGAAGGCAGTGGAAGGTAGCGCGGGGGGGGGGGGGGGGCACTGGAAGGCAGCAGCGGTTTGGTGGAGACGGAGGGGAAGGGCGGATTGTCAAACGGCGCCGAACAGCGCCACCTCTGACAGCTCGCAGGGCCCGGCGAGCCAGGCGGGCGCGGTGTGGACGAGGCAAGGCAGGGGCCCGAGCGAGGAGCCCAGCAGGGTCTCGGGGTCGTAGCCCTGCGAGGACGGCATGGCCGCAGAGCGGGCGAAGCATGGGCTCAACGCGAGTCCGTGGAGAGATTGTGTGTCGGCTGATCTTGGCGATGATGGGAAAATCTATCGGTTTGACGAGGATGATGATCATGACTAAAATAGATTATGGTGTTCATTTCAATGGATGATGGGAGAGATTTGGATTATTTCCAATGCATTACGACGACGATGACTCCGATGCATGAATGACAGCGATTAATGCAGTTGAGTGTTGATGATGACGATGAAATAAACAGACAATTATTTAAAAAAAATGACTTCGATGACGATGGAGGATTATTAAATCGCTGAACGACGAGCATTCGACGACTCTGGACGACGATACCATTGCTTGCAAAGCGCCCCTGAATAAGGCGCTATAGACATCGAGACAAGATGAGATGATGCACCGGCTGGTGGAACGCCAACCCGCGATCCGACCCACCGCAACCGCCCGCGAACGGATGACGAGACAGCCCGGGAGAAGTGAATTCCTTCACCGCCCACAGTAACGCTTTGAACGACGATTAAACCCCTAACCCCCCCCCCCCCAACCCCCGTCCCCAATGGATACCTCCTCGAAGAGGGATAACCGTGCAGGCAGCAGCTTGGAGATGGTCGGCTCCAGTAGCTGTAGGAGAGACATCGACATCGGCACGCGTACAGGCGCAAGAGGAAAAAATTAAGGAGTTTTCAGTTCAAAGGGAAACTTCTATGCTCCCCCCCCCTCCTCCCCCGCCCGGCGGCAATATCTAACATCAATCATTCCGGTGCCCGGCTGTGGTTTTATGAAGAAAAAAAAAGTAGCCTAGGGGACTCCGACCCTCTCTGCATGTCAGCTGGCCCTATGCAGCACAAGGGGTGATGGTGGCAGCAGCACCGGCCTGCGAACGGGGGGTGGGGGTGGGGGGGGGCGATGTTGCGATTCGTCATTCCGATTTAGTAATTTGCGGGCGACTTTTCTGATTCTGAAAATGTAGATGGCAACACCAGCAGATGCATCGGAATGTTTATTTTATACTGGGGGAATCCGATGAGCTATGAAGCTCTTTTTCCACAGACGTCCAGTAGGGGCACGGGGTCAGAACGTTAGAACAACAAACAGTACGAAAACACGATAGGAGTGAAAAGTATAGGAAAGGTAAACAAATCACTTAAAAAAATATAAAAAAAATATTTTTATCTTACCAGGTAAAACCCACTTAGCCATTTCGCTTCTTTTTCAGACGCGAACCTGGCCAAAGATGATAGCTCAGCGAAGTCGCCCATCGTCACGGGGAACTTTACAGCAGCAAAATAATATTTCGATTTAAAGCTTTCGTGACTGCAAGGATTCATCTTCTTTGGTTCTTTCGGTAAAGTCACGTAGAATGAGAATAAAATTATTATAATATTATAATATTATTTTGCTTCTCATTCTACGTGACTTTACCGAAAGAACCAATGAAGAGCAAAATAATAATAAATCTAGACGCACGTTTCTAAACGTGATCAAGCACGGGCGATGGGGGAGACGGATGCCACAGTGGCAGCATTGGACCGCGGGGGATTCGTGGCGGCCGTGGGGGAAGAAGGCCATCATCCAGCGGTGGATTGAGCATGGGCAGGTGGAGATGATGACGATGCACTGACCTTGAGATTGGCGCAGCGGTTGGGGCCGAGCGAGCCGCAGGAGAGGACGACGGAGAGGTTCGTCCTCTGAGCGGGGTTCAGCACGATGGCGTCGCAAGGCACGCACTGCAGCACCTCCCCGCTGGCACACACAAAGATCCCCCCCCCCACACCCCCGTGTAGCTTTTAATAGGCTGCCGGGGTCAAGCGCTGCTAGCGAGTAGCGCCTGTGAAGGCCGGCACGGCACACGAGGGGGGTGGATGGCCAGAACCACGCCCGACCGCCTTAGCATCCCCGGCGGCGATGTTGACTGCACACCGCGCCAAAGAGAACCCGGAGGCAACGGACGGAGAACGTACCAAGCAAATGCACACGCGGAAAAACGTGTTCATGAGTTGGGAATCGAACTCAGACCGCCCCCCCCTTGTTGCCGCGAGGCACAGGGTGTCACCGCCGCTTTGCGCTGCCACCCTGTGCCACGCATTCGTGGGCCTGGGCATGACGAGCCGTGGGTAAAAGATGGACGGACAGACGGTCGGTCGGATGGACGCCACAGAGGCGGGAGCTCACCTGAAGTTGCGCGTCTTCTCCAGCTGCCTGCTTCCGCACCGATCGCACGTCAGCCAGGAGAAGGCGTTCTCCTCGTCCACACCAATTATCACCCCTGTGCAAAAAAACCACAAATATCCCCCCCCCCCCCCCCCCCACACGGCAAGTGCTGTTATTGAGTAGCGCCTGTTAAGGTCGGCACAGCGCACCTATTCGGGGGTGGGGTGGCCAACCCCATGCCCAGCCACCTTTGTCTCTCCCCCCCACCCCGTCCACCACCATTCCTCCCACCTCCAATGCCACAGCCCCTCACACTACCCATTCAGGATGGGTTTTTTTACAGACCGCAATAGGTGCTTGTTTAAGGCCGTGCAGACCTAGGGGAGGCACGGAACTGGGTCGACTATTCGCCACTGCTATTGGCCGTGAGCGGGAATCGAACTCGGCTAGCCGGGTTCGTAGCGCACCTCTCTGCGCAAGGCGCGCGCACACACGTAGATGGAATTCTCACTCTGACGAGCAGTGGTTGTGTGGAGTTTGTATATTCTTCTTCCCGTGTCCTGCATGGGTTTCTCCCGGGTTCTCCGCTTCCCACCACCCCCATAACAACAACAACAATGACCACTAAGCGGCGGTGACGTCACCACGGCGCTTGTACCAGGCCATGTGAAGGGTCGAAGGCTCGCTGACAGGAGGTCATGGGGACAGACCCAGTTGCTACGGGTCGACTGGCCGAGATGACTGGCAGATGCACCACCTCTGCCCCCCTTACTGTAAACTTGCTGCTAAACACACGCAGACAAATATCCCGCGTATAGCCTGTAACAGACTGTTGGGACAAGTGCTGTTAGTGAGCAGTTATGAAGGCCGGCACGGCACATGAGGGGGTGGGTGGCCAACACCACACCCGGCCGCTTGTCTCCCCAGTGGCGATGTTTACACATCTTACCAGGTACTCAATTGAGGATGAGTCAACCTAGGGGAGAGGCCTAGAACCGGTTCAGATAATAGTCACCGGTGTTGGCCGTGAGCGGGAATCGAACCCCAGGTCGCCAGGTTCGTAGCACAGCGTGCTAACCGCTATATTACCGCAGACACACACACACAGACACACACACAGACACACACACAGACTGTAACTGGCATCGGCCAAAACAGTCCAAGGAATTTTGGTTTCAACATCTCAAGGAATGCTGAAACCAAAATTCACCTGAAAATTACTCAATGGGGATGACTTCACAAAGCAGTAGCAGCAACAGTAGCAGCAAGATCGCCCAGCTTTCTCCTTCAAACAATTGGCAGGACCCTCTTGAATAAAAAGAGTCTTCAGACTTAGTGATAATCTCCTTGGATAAACAAGCATAATAATATTTTTTTCAAGAGGCTCCTATTTGCCAATAAAAACAAATTTACAATGGTATTCATCCAATTCCTCTCCCATAGCGATCGGTGACTGGGCTGAAACAATCAACTCACAACACTCGGGTACCCAGCGTCATCAGAGGAAAGTTAAAGCCGGTGATCCAAGTTGTATCAGTTCACCGTCTCTCGACACGGCCATTATGAACAGAATCAGAATGTTTATTTATACTGCAGAGGAATCCGATGAGCTACAAAGCTCTTTTTTCCACAGATGTCCAATAGGGGCATGGGGTCAGAACGTTACAACAACAAACAATACAAATTATAGCAAAGGTAAACAAATCACTTTTTTAAAATATATAAAAAAATAAACCTATTTTTATCTTACCAGGTAAAGCCCACTGAGCTATTAACTTCTTTTTCAGAAGCGACCTGGCCACAAATGATAGCTCAACGAAGTTGGCTTATCACGTGGGAATTTATAGCAGCAAAATGATGTGAATAATCTAGACGCGCGTTTCTAAACGTGGAAGGAAAACCACGAGAGGACCCGGAGAAAAAATGAACGCGACCACGGGGAGAACATGCGAACTCCAAATATATAGAGGCATCGTCAGTCCGCCCAGCCACCGAACAAACACCACGATGAACACGACTGTAAAACCATGGGTTTCAATAAAAATGATCATAATAAGAATAAAGAAATCAATGGGCCATTGCCTGCAACACAGACACGGATCTCGTATAATATTTACAAAGAGGAGGAGGGGTGGGGGGGGTGGGAAATCAACAACACCACTCACTCATACTTCGACCACTGCCAAAAAAAGTTGGGAGGTTTTTTTTTTGCAAACAAAACGTTCAAAGTCCAGTAAACTATCACTGGCATAAAATGTTCCAACCCCACACAGCGCCGCGGCCACCGCCACCCACCCCCATCGTTGTGATGCCGAGTTCACCTCCCAATTCCCAACCCCACCCACAAACAACCGACCCCACAACCGCGACGAAAACGAGGGTCGTGCTGGACAGATTTAGGTGCCGCTGTGGCTTCTCAGCTTCTCCCCGGACGTACGGCGCGAATGTCCGACGTTTCACCGCCGCTCATGCCGGGAGCTTCTTTCAGCAAACTGAACCGAGCACATCTCGTTTCCGCACCTCGATGTCGATCGGACCGGCTCTCGGCACCGATTGGCTTCGGTAACTACAACATTGCCCAGACTACACCAGGGAGCCTTGAGCTGACCCAATCGGGACCCAGGGAGCGGCCACAACAGCAGCAGTAGCCACGGCAATGCTACATAATCGTGGGAGGGGGAGGGGGGGGATAATTAATCCGCTAAATGCGGTTTCTAAATAAGCTCCCAGAACGTGGGGTACGAAACGTTGGACATCGTGCCCGGACGTTGCGCGGCATGACCCCCGAAATGGCCAATCGGAGAGAGCTGTGCAGCCGCGGCACAGCTGTGAAATCCGACGCGGTGGTATCGCTGCGATAAGTAAAAACAACGCATGTGGAAGGGTGACCTGGGTGGAACAGGGGTCAGAGAAACGAGCCGGCCGGCACTGCTGAGATTGCTGGGTTCAAATCCGGCTTTCAGCCGCACAAATGCTAGTGTTTAAAAACTGGGTTCTCAAGTGTAGAGATTTGATGGAATCGGTCAGCAATGTCTTGCATTGAGCCCCACGGACTTGCACAGAGACACAGAGACTCACACAGAGACCCACAGACCTACTTAGAGAACCATAGACTAGAGAGTCATAGACTAGTCTCTATTTAAGTCTGTGGGTCCATATGCAAGTCTATGCATCTCTGTGAGTCTACGTGTCTCTGTGTAAGTCCGTGGGTCTCTAGTCTATGTGTCTCTGTGCGAGTCTCCGTGTCGCTGTGCAAGTCCGTGGGTCTCTGTGCAACGCACTTCTGACTGGGTATAAGTTTAGGACTCACATATAGACACACACGGAATCACGAAGAATGAGCTGTGTAACGAATTGATAGTCGCAGCCCGGTAACCAACGACTGCAAAACGCAGTGCGACCCGCAGAAGCGGATGTCACAGAGCTGCTTTTGAGATCTTTCCAAGTGACCTTTGTTCCGCACAGTTAGGGGGTCGCAGTAGTCAAGTGAATTTATCTTTTGATTGCGCGCAGGGCGCCGTTCGGGCACAAATGTGTCGCCTCATTCCTGTAAAACGGATCATTATCATTATTTTTTGACAAATTCAGCCAAATTTAGTGCAGAATCAAATTTCATGTGATCAGGTTTTTGTTGTTGTTGTTGTTGTTGCGCACGTGTAAGTGCCGGATGGGGCTGAGACCATCGACTCACTGCACTTGAGAACCTCTTTTAATCACCGACGGTTGAAAGCTGGATTCAAACCCAGGACCTCATTGGCAGGGGCGTGCAAAAGCGTGGCCCAAAGACCACTCCACCACTATCATCGATGACAAACGCCGGCTTTTAAAACAAACTGTACGCAGTTATTTGGTGATGCAACCACTGCGTTGGCAGTGGTGCACAAGCACAAATAATAACAGCAACTCAACACGCTCGTCTATAATAACACTGTGGCCTTAATAACATTGTGGCCACCCAATCCTACCCACCTGATCCTGCCCACCTGATCCTGCCCATCCGATCCTAAACAGCCAATCCTACCCAGCCAATCCTACCCACCCAATTCCTACCCAGCCAATCCTACCCACCCGATTCTACCCACCCGATCCTACCCAGCCAATCCTACCCACCCAATCCTACCCACCCGATCCTACCCACCCGATCCTACCCACCCAATCATACCCACCCAATCCTACCCACCAAATCCTACCCAGCAGATCCTACCACCCACCCAACACCAGAAGTTGACCCGGTGACGACCAGTACCTTGCACCAAGCACAACGTGTTTTCCGGGCTAGTCGGCGACAGCCAGTCCAGCAGTGGAGTCTCCTGGCGAGCTGCACTGGCCGTGGGTTCTGTGGTGGCGTGGCTGGAGAGGAGGATGAGGCTGCCCTCCGTAGCGACGAGGCGATCTGTGTGGGCACACGCGCACCTCTGCATTAGCCTCAGCAAACCAATGTCTGTCAATGGTGCAGTCTTAATATATGAATGCAACGTAATTCTATGGGTCCTACGTATGCGTGTCTATGGGCACTGTGTAATTTACGAGTCCTCTGCAAGCCTACAGGACCTGTGTAAATCTAGAGGCCCATTGTAAGGATAAGAATCCTACGTAAGTCTGTCAGTCCAATCGAAGTCTGCTGTTGAGCCTACGCAAGTCTATGGTGTCGTATGAGTCTCTGGTCCTCTATGTAAGTCCATGGGTCAATGTAAGTCTATGGATACACTGCAAGTTGTAGGGGTCTTATGCAAATATATGGATTCCATGTGAGTGGAATGGATGCTATATGCAAGTCTGTCTTCGTTCGGCGGCTCATGGTGACCGCCCGATCATTTTCACGCACTCGGGGCAACGAGATTAGGACCTCACAGCTTTGCGGTCAGCGTTCAATCGGCCTGGAATTAAATGCCGCTGCATGTTCGAGGGAGGGAGGGAGGTGAGGGAGGTGAGGGAGGGAGGGAGGGAGGGAGGGAGGGAGGTGAGGGAGGGAGGTGAGGGAGGTGAGGGAGGGAGGAAGGGAGGGAGGTGAGGGAGGTGAGGGAGGGAGGGAGGGAGGTGAGGGAGGGAGGTTGGTGAGGGAGGTGAGGGAGGGAGGGAGGTGAGGTGAGGTGAGGGAGGGAGGTGAGGGAGGGAGGGAGGTGAGGTAGGTGAGGGAGGTAGGTGAGAGAGGTTGGTGAGGGAGGTTGGTGAGGGAGGTTGGTGAGGGAGTGAGGGAGGTGAGGGAGGGAGGTGAGGGAGTGAGGGAGGTGAGGGAGGTGAGGGAGGTGAGGGAGGTGAGGGAGGGAGGTGAGGGAGGTGAGGGAGGGAGGTTGGTGAGTGTGGGAGGGAGGGGAGGATGATGATGAGGTGGGCTCTCAGCGCACCGTTCTCACACACGACGTCCTTGAAGAGGAGCGAGGCGACGCGGGGGCGGCACAGCGCCGACCGGACGGCCGCGGGCAGCACGCACGCTGCGGTGACGAGCACGTGGGCCGAGCGGGGAGGGGCGCACAACAAGGACGGCGGCGACGATGGCGGCGAGGAGGAGGGGAGGGACGTCTGCAAGGAGTCATCGGTCACGAAGAGAGAGCAGCTCGCAGCACCGGCACGTTCGCCCGGTCTCGCCTGCATTGCCTCACAGTCGAGGCAACAACAACAAAAATCACACGGTGAAAACATTGCTATCGAAATAATTTAGCGAGCATTCATTTTGTTTTTTAAGTGATTTTGTAATTTACCCCCCCCCCCCCCCCCCCACTCACCCACCCCCCAGCCCCCCACACCGGCTATTATCGAGAAGATGACGCTGAAGTGTAACGGCGAGCGGCGTACTCGACTTGCGATCCCATCTCCCAGTGCAGAGGTGGAGACAACGGCGGGCCAAGTTTCTCAACTCCCCCCACTTTGCCCCGCCCCTCCCCCCCCCCATGTCCACCCCGCACCCCCACCCCCCCGTCACCTCTCTCCACTTAGCAGCAGCAGAAGTGGGTTCATCGGCAGGTCGCGCGTGGTGCCGCTAAGTGCGGGTGCTCCCACCTATTTCAAGGCGTCTGGCCAGCATAGAATGGGGTAGAGGGCCCAATAACCTCCACACCAGGGGTCAGCAACCTGCTGCTCCGGAGTCACGTGCGACTCTTTAAGGACCGCTTCCTGACGTCATTTATTAAGGACCACCACCGTCTCGTGTTCACGTGCATTCATCATCATCATCACGATCCATGCGCAGGCAGGCAGTACGCGTCCAATGCACATTTTGTCATTTGTTTCCACTTTCCGCTGTCTTGCAGCCAGTGTGCTCAAGCAGTGCGCAACGCATTGCACTGCGGCTCTTGATATATTTAGTGGGGTTTTTTGTTTGTTTACAGAATTCGAAAAAATTGTTTTTCGTTGCCGACCGCTGCTCTATAGGGGCCTCTCTGGAGCCCCATAAAGGGGAGGCCATCTTCTAGCAGTGGTGTGAGAGCCAGCAATTGCAGGGCCTGCACCTTTACCTTTGTCTAAACCTTTGTAATATTCCTGCAAGTTTGTTTCGGTCTTTGTTTTAATCACAGGTCGAGCAGGATGCCTTGCTCTGCCTCAACCGCCCAGGCAGGCTCCCCTGGAGTGTGCCACCCAGGCGAGAGGATAGGGCGGGGATTGGGCCTGCCAGCCGGCCAGCCGGCTTACTAACCCTATAAATAGACACGGGTTCAATGGTTTACCAGCTTAATTGAGCGTAATGGCTCAGCGGTGTGTAACTGCGTTTGCAAAACAGAAGCAGAAAAAGCTGCAGTGTTTAATGTGCAATCTTGCGCAATGTTGAAAAAAGTTATAGGCGAGATAATTGCACCGTTTAACTCGGGCTTTCGTCATCGCAATGATGAGGGAGAGGGGTATGATTGCGATTATAGTAGTTATGGGTATCAGCGTAATTGGTATAGCCACTAATGATAATAGTATCTTTAGGATCGAGCTTTATCTTGGCCTAATAAGTCTGCATTAAAATCTTCATATTTACAACAATTTTTTATTTTACCAGTAAGCTATGTAGCTCTTTTTCAGATGCTACCTGGCCACAAATGATAGCTCAATGAAGTGGCGTATCACGTGGAAATTTATAGCAGCCAAACACACTAAACGCGTGTTGTTTTTTAAATGTGGAGGGGAAAACCTGGGGACAAAATCCACGCGGCCACGGGGAGGGAGACAAGACACGCAAACTCGAATTATGCAGCAGGCATCAGCGTCGGGATCAAACCCACGAACCTCCTGCATACCGGCCAAGGTAGTTAACGTCTGGCCATGGTGGCACGCCCAGATCACGGGTGCGACATGGAGTGGACACACCAGGGTCGGAGTGGACAAGGACGGTCAGACGAGCGAGACGGGGACACAAGGGGTTGGGGAGAAGTCAGCCAAGTGGCCAGGGGGTTAGACGTGTGAAGTGGGCCGATGGGTCAGGCGAGACCCAACGGGACAATGGACGTGTGTGGGAGAGCGGAGAGGGAACCTCCCCCGAGGGATCGTGTTGAAATACAAAACAATTAAAAAAAAGAATGATGACGATACCTCCTCCATCTTCGCGTAGATGAGCGTGGCATAGAAGGTGCAGCGCCACGACGCCCGGTGGCCCCTCCGCTGGCCCTGAGCGGCACACAGGGGGTGGCGAACGAGTGATGGCATCAAGAGATGAAGAGACGTGGCACTTGCGTCCCACGAGCTGCTGGCATCTGGGACAGTTTGTTGTTATTCTGCCCTGCCCCCTAAGCTTGCATTTTGAATTTTAAAACAATTATTGTGATGGTGTGACGTTATCTCCCTCGCCTGGTATGCAGGAGGTCGCGGGGGGGGGGGGGAGGGGGGGGTTCGATCCCAACGCCTGTTGCATATTCGGAGTTTGTGCGTCTCTCTCTCTCTCTCCACGTGGTCGCGTGGATTTTTCTCCGGGCCCTCCGGTTTTTCCCTCCACATTTAGAATCAGCATCACGCGTGCGTAGCTGTGTCCACCCGCTCCCTTCCTGCCCCACCCCCCCCACCACACCGTGTGTTTTTGAGTCGTACCGCGCGCCATCGTGCGCGGCATCCCGCCGCGTTTTCAGTTCCTGAAGAAGCTCCCGGCGTGCATGGGAGCGGAACCCTTGGTGCCCCTTTGTGGGACCGGCCCAGGGGGGGTCACAGTAACCTCTCTCCTCTCTACTGATCTCCACTCTACTCTCTACTGATCTCCACTCTACTCTCTACTGATCTCCACTCTACTCTCTACTGCTCTCCACTCTACTCTCTACTGATCTCCACTCTCCTCTCTACTGATCTCCACTCTCCTCTCTACTGATCTCCACTCTACTCTCTACTGATCTCCACTCTACTCTCTACTGATCTCCACTGTACTCTCTACTGATCTCTACTCCACTCTACTGATCTCCACTCCACTCTCTACTGATCTCCACTGCTCTCCACTCCACTCTCTACTGCTCTCCACTCTCCTCTCTAATGATCTCCACTCCACTCTCTACTGATCTCCACTGCTCTCCACTTTCTACTGATCTCCACTCTCCTCTCTACTGATCTCCACTCTCCTCTCTACTGATCTCCACTCTCCTCTCTACTGCTCTCCACTCTCCTCTCTACTGCTCTCCACTCTCCTCTCTACTGATCTCCACTCTACTCTCTACTGCTCTCCACTCTCCTCTCTACTGATCTCCACTCCACTCTCTACTGATCTCCACTCTCCTCTCTACTGATCTCCACTCTCCTCTCTACTGATCTCCACTGTACTCTCTACTGATCTCCACTCTACTCTCTACTGATCTCCACTCTACTCTCTACTGATCTCCACTGTACTCTCTACTGATCTCCACTCTACTCTCTACTGATCTCCACTCCACTCTCTACTGCTCTCCACTCTCCTCTCTACTGATCTCCACTCCACTCTCTACTGCTCTCCACTCTATTCTCTACTGATCTCCACTCTCCTCTCTACTGATCTCCACTCCACTCTCTACTGCTCTCCACTCTACTCTCTACTGATCTCCACTCCACTCTCTACTGCTCTCCACTCTATTCTCTACTGATCTCCACTCTCCTCTCTACTGATCTCCACTCCACTCTCTACTGCTCTCCACTCTACTCTCTACTGCTCTCCACTCTCCTCTCTACTGATCTCCACTCCACTCTCTACTGATCTCCACTGCTCTCCACTCCACTCTCTACTGCTCTCCACTCTACTCTCTCCGGCCACTCTACTGCTCTCCACTCTACTCTCTCCGGCATCGCTACACTCTACTGTTCTCCACTCTACCTTCTCCGGCCTCCCTACTGCTCTACTGCTCTCTACTCTACTGTCCCGGTGCCGTAAAGATAAGGGCCACTCCCCATAACGTTTCCCACCAGCGTTACATTTTTCCGCGGAAGTCTATTTCTCCTACAGCCACGGGAGGTACCGATGAACGTCAAGTTCATAAGTTAATTGAGATGTTTCGCGATTGTGAGTTGTAGCCGTGCGTGTGCCGCGCGTGTGCCATGTCTGCCGTGCGTGGGTACCAGTGTGTGGCTGAGCGGCAACGTGGAGGGTGCGCGGTACAGAGCGCTGGTACCGGCGCCACCGTCGTCGTCGTCCGAGAGCGGAAGAACGTCGGAGCCGGCGCGGGTCGCCAGAACGTAACAGAAGCTGGGCACCGGCATCATCTCGGCACTCTCCTGTGCATCGTCGTCATCATCATCACCGCCATCGTCATCACGGACATGGCTATCATTGTCATTGTCGTCAATAATAATCATCATTACTGTCATCATCATTATTGCACTGTCATCATCATCATCATCACTGCCATCATCATCGTCATGGACATGGCTATCATTGTCGTCATCGTCATCAAAAATCATCATCATCCTCATGTTCATCATAACCCTGCAGCCGTTTGCTCCCGTCCTGCGTTACCTCTGGGCTGTGCGGGCTCCCGGGCTGGGCTTTCGGGGTTTGTCTTGGTGGCCAGAGGCTGTCAATGAGGCTGAACAGTGCGGGGGACCTGGAGGAGGGAATTGAACCGCGGAGTCAAAGTCAACCCCCACCCCACCAAGGGTAGGTGGATCACGCGGAGACCCGTGAGAGCCTCCAAAACCCAGCTGAGCTGAGCTGTAAGGTGGCCAGGTTGAGGCGGTACAGCGAGTGGGTTTTCATAAGCCGCCTGAGCGTTCTGGCGCGTGCCGTGACGGGGTACCGCAAGATCCGACCGTGTCAGTCCAGCGCTCACCGAGCTGCATTGGCTTACGGTTGCCGAACTAATCCGTTATGAGGTCACGCTCATTACACTCAAAGTGCTTGCCACAAATTAATCATAACACCTTGCTGATCTCAAGGAGCATAAACCATCACGCGAAATCCGGGCGGTCATCCTCACAGAAGCAGCAGCAGCAGCAGCGGCTTTTAGCTTAGCCATCGAACAAAGACGGCCACCGCATCACGTGGGAGCTTTCAGATGCACTTCTGCGGCCGTCTGGAACGCTCTTCCTTCCCATGTTAGGAAGCCACTGGAACTGCGCACTATTAAATAATCCAGATTGAAAACTCATTTCTTTAGAACTGCTTTGTGTGTGTTTAGTTTATTGTCCTTCCCCCGCACCTCCAATTAGCACGGTTTGCTACGTATGGTGCGAAAGAAGTTCAACATACATACACACATACATATATGCAGTGAGGTGGCCAGGTGAGGTCAGGGATGCTGAGCCAGCACCGATGAGAGCCTGGGTTCGAATCCGGGATTCAGCCGTTGCCTGTGATTAAAACCGGTTCTTAAGCATAGCAGAGTAACGATCTCAGACCCCGGCATTTACCAATGACTGCACATTAAAAAAAAAAACGTTATTAAATTCAGCTTTGCACTTAAACGTGCCAAAAATTCCAGCTCTGACAATTCATCACGTGGCAGAATGTGTGGGAAAATTGCGCCCCCTACCGTGCCAATGATACACATGCGACTTCAAAGATTTCTCGGGAGAGAGGCGACTGCCGTAAAAAATGTATTTGCCGCGGGTCGCTCTGCAGCGCACGGGAGGAGGCACGGTGCCACGCGAAGGGGGAGGTTTTCCGAATGGCATTCTTCATCTCGGTTCATTACACGGGAAGGATAGAAAATAAATACAATTACCACCGAAAAGGCTACAGCAAGTCCTCGCTGAACGCGTCGGGTGTTCACAGGGACGCATTTTCGCTCAAAACTGGAACACTTTTCGCACAACGCGAACGCGAGCACCATTATAACATGGAACCCGCGCCGTCATGACGCAGTTTCTGAGCGGTCAACGACGAGCTACTTTCTCGAGCTGCGCGGCTGAGCGTACGATACGGTACGCGGAATGACACAGAAACGTGGCGGCTCACTCAGTTATTCATCCCGCCATCTCAGCGTGAGCGTGTGTAGTAAGTGCATCGGGCGAAATCGTTTTTGGCTCAATGCGCCTTTCGCTCAACGCGGCACTTCCCAGCCGAACTCATCGACTACCGCGAGCGGCGGGCGTCACGAACGAGGGCTCCGCTAAAGCGCGCGGAAAAAACATTCCGCTTTGCGCGGCTGAAATTCCTCAAACCCCACGCCGAGCAACGCAGCCGACAATCGCCAGGGACGCGAATGCGACTCCCCCGCCCCCGCTCCCCCCGTACCCCCACCAAACCACGCACGAGTGCCCCCCGCGCGCATGAGCCTATCTGCGACGGTCACACTGGACCGGCGTGTCAAAATGAAACCGGGCGCAGACGGCGCGCCGGGGGAAACGCGTCGCACCGCCGCCCGTCGTGGCCCCTCGACGCCAGGGCACGGCTCGCGGGCGTGAGAGCGGTCGTCAGATTCAAACAGATCCTGAGCCTGGCGCAGGCTGCGTGTGGCACCATTGATTCACTATCATTTCCTGCCGCTGATGACTTTGATAAAGATGCTGCTGATTTCGACGATGATGATGCTGCTGCTGCTGCTGCTGATTTTGACAATGATGCCAATTTTGACGATCCTGCTGCTGATTTTGATGATGTTGCTGCTGATTTTGATGCTGCTGCTGAGTCCGTGACACCGCTGCAGATGGTGTTCTTGTTGCTGCTTGTGATGAAAGTGATGTCACGGACATTGCTGCTGCCGTTTTTAATGATGATGATGATGATGATCACAGTGATATAAATCAGATTGGTGAAGATTCTGCTACTGCTGCTGATAATAATAATCATTGATGACAGTCATGATAACAATGGTGAAGAGTGATATGAGTGGCACTGCTGCAGATGCTGCTGCTATCACTGATGAAGACGACAATGAAAGTGATGTCCATGACACTGATCCAGTTGCTGGCGCTGCTAATGAAGACTCCGACAATGATGAATATTGTGACATAACTGACGTCATGGCATTACTGCCGTCGCTGCTGCTGCTACTTCTGATCACGATGACGATGACCACGATGACGATGATCACGATGACGATGATCACGATGACGATGATCACGATGACGATGATCACGATGACGATGATCACGATGACGATGATCACGATGACGATGCTCACGATGCCGTCCGACAGTGACGATCACGACGACGATGTTGCTAAAAACAATACCGGCCACAGCAACGCCGGCAAGCAAGACCGGGGTGCCGTCATGCCCCCCCCCCCCCCCACCGCCGCCCCCCCCTCCCCTACCTCGTCCTCGTGGTCCTCCGCAGCACCGCGACGTCAGCAAAGAGGCAGCAGCGCCCCTCCAGGTGAGACGGCAGCACGGGAGGCGATTCCGTCTCGCCTCCCGCCGGAGCTCCCGCGGGGGAGATAGCGGAGGGGACAGGGGGCAATGGAGCAGGATCAGCCCTCGGCTCCAGGGAGAAGCCAGGGGGCCCGGCCCTCGGCTCCAGGGAGGAGCCAGGGGGCCCGGCCCTCGGCTCCATAGAGGAGCCAGCCGGCTCGGCCCTCGACTCCACAGAGGAGCAAGCGGGCTCGGCCCTCGGCTCCACGGAGGAGCCAGGGGGCTCGGCCCTCGGCTCCACGGAGGAGCCAGCCGGCTCGGCCCTCGGCTCCACGGAGGAGCCAGCCGGCTCGGCCTTCGGCTCCACGGAGGGGCCAGGGGGCAACGAAGCGAGATCGGCTCTCAGCTCCGCGAACACCCCGCACGAGTCTTGTAAGAGCAGCACACACCTGCACAGAGACAACATCGACGTCGACAAATGACAAACGACAACAACAACCGGTAAAGCCGGTATGCATTTTCAGAACCGATTCACCGAAAGTCAGGACGTGGTCAACCGATCCCATTGGGGATTTAAGTCATGAATGTACATACGTTGAACTTATTTCGCACTGTACGTAGCCAACCGTGCTAATCGGAGGGGCGGGGGAAGGACAACAAACTACGGACGGAAAGGTGCAACATCGTTCCAACCACCACGCTGAGAGGGGGGAAATCAAACCGTAGTCTTTCACGACCAATATGAGAGATTATAAATGTTTTCCTCCCTGAGATCTGACCTCCTGCTTAACAATCTGATGCACGGTGGATGCAACGTCCGGCGAAAGGTCAGCGAGCCGTGTCGATGTTGTGAGATTCCTCTCCAAAGACAACGACGCCGCCGCTGCCGCTAGCTGCCCAAGCAGGAGTGCAATTGTCCACGCTTGATTCACGTGGCACTCTTTTGATTAAATACTATAAAAACGCAACTATTTTTATATTTAACCAGCTAAGGCACAGTGAGCTATATTGCTCGTTTTCAGATGCGACCTGGCCACAAATTGATAGCTCAACCAAGTGGCTTTACATCAGCGTGTGCATATTTATAGCAGCCAAAGACTCTAAACGCGTGGTGATGTTGATTCCAAACGTGGAAGGAAAAACCGGAGGACCCGGGGAAAACTCCACGCGACCACGGGGTGAGAGGGAGACACGAAAACTCCAAGTATACAGCAGGCGTCAGGGTCGAGATGGATACCCAAGACCTCCTGTATACCAGGTGAGGTAGTATTAACATCACATAGAAATTAAAAGCAGCCATAGGCTCCAAATGCATGCTTCTGTGGAGGGCAAAAAAAACAGAGGACCCGGAGAAAAATCCACGTGACCACGGGGAGAGACACGCAAACTCCAAATATACAGCAGTCGTCAGGGTTGGCATGGAACCCACGACCTGCTGCATATCAGGCGAGGTAGTTAACATCTCTCCACCGTGGCGCCTTTGACCGGCAGCATCAGGTGGCGGAGGGGTCTACGACACGCGAGTTGTTCTTCGTCATTATCCTTGCCGCTTACCGGCAATGATTAGCACGGTTGGCAACTTACGGTGTGAAAGAAGTTCAACAGGCATACATGCATGACAATGAAAAGATAAATTACGGTTAACGAGCCTACGCCGAACAACCTTACGTTACTCTCTTCTCTCGGCAAAATCTGCGCGGTGCTTTTTCATGACCGGCTCGCGGGGACGCGTGTCAAGGAAAACCGGAACGAGAGTTGAAAACCGTACAGAGACGAGTGGACAGACGCACGCACGCACGCACGCACATATGGTGGAGGTGCACGCTGGGAATTACGCCCAGAGACCGCACCGCAAGATGAGCACGTGGCTTAGAGCAGTGGTTCTCAACCTTTGTTCGCTACTTGTTGTATTTTGCTTCAACCGAGTCTACCCCTTGCCTGACCCAACACGGCCCTGAGAAATAGATGCGTGAAGAAATGAACCTCAAATATTTTAACCAATTGTTCACTTTGCGGGGTGTCCTAACGAGCTCGTAACTGCAAGCAAATCAAAACAAATGTCAACGGACGCTCCGCACTCGTGACCACATTCGTTTGCGTTCGCTGGCTACTCTTGTTCACGATCATTGAGTTTAGAAAGATCTTTCATATCGTTCTTGGTTAGTACATAGATTTAATTTGTATTGTAATTATTTTATATTGGAAAAGATTCATACATGATTGTTCCCTCAAAAACTCTCATGTATGATATAATTTGCCAATATATTATTTTATATTGGCAGATTCATACATGATTATTCCACAAAAACTCTCATGTACGCTGGTAAATTTTACACATTTATGAATCGCCTCATGTACCCCCAAGTTACCCTGAGGGGTCCGCGTACCCCCCGTTGAGTACCACTGGCTTATAGAAAAATACTCAAGGTCGAGGCTGATAACAAGAGTGGAATTGGGCTTAGGGTGTTGCTACAAAGGATGATGCCCAAGTGGTCGTGACCAATGACGAAGTGCCTCAGGTCGAGGGGTTCATCGCGCAGCGTGCAAACAGCTGTACAAAGACAAAGATCCACCGTATAGCCCTTATTGGTGCAAGCGCTGTCAGCGAGCAACTATGAAGACCGGTACAGTACACGAGGGCGTGGGTGGCTAACACCACGCCCGACCGCCTTTGTCTCCCCAATGCTGATGTTTACACACCATCTAAGGCGGAGCCCACCGAGGAGAGAGGTTAAAATATTCGCCACTGTTATTGCTCATGAGGGGGAATCGAACTTGGGTAGCCGGGTTCGCAGACCCGTGAGCTAACCGCTGTGCTACCGCTCCCCCAAAAGACCACTGTTACAAACACAAACATCCCCCCCGTATAGCCTTAACAGACTGTTGGGACAAGTGCTGTTAGCGAGCACCTATGAAGGCCGGCACGGCACACGAGGGGGTGGGTGGCCAGCACCACGCCCGTCCACGTCTACCGAGTGGCGATGTTGACTACACAGCGCACCAAGTACTCATTTGAGGCTAAACCGACTTACACAACCGCACAAACCTACACACACCCACACCAAGCATACGAAGAGATGTTTGAAGGTCCACACGGATGGGTTCATGAACCAACAAAGAAGGGGGGATGGAGAGAGTGAGATAGCAGACAGTGGGGAGGGGAGGGGAAGGGAGGGGAGGGGACACATTGTGACTTCCCGTAACCCTCCCGCGTACAAGAAACGCCACGCATCTTTCCTTCTCGCTCGCGGTCCGTGCGTGTGTGTGCGTGTGTGTGCGTGTGTCCGCGCGTGTGTGTGCGTGTGTGTGCATCTGTCCGCGCGTGCGTGTGCATGTGTCCGCGCGTGTGTCCGCGTGTGTGTGCGTATGTCCACGTGTGTTCGCGTGCGTGTGTGCGTGTGTGTGTGCGTGTGTGTGTGTCTGAGGTGCTCGCTAACACCACTTGCCCCAACAGTCTGTTAAGGCTATATGGGGGATCTTTATCTTTGTGTGTCTGCGCGTGTCTGCGTGTATCCGCGTGTGCGGTAGTGGTAGCGTATAGCGCGCTGCTCTACGAACTTGCGACCCGAGTTCGATTACCCGCTCATGGCCATCACCAATGACGATTGTCTGAATCGGTCCCAGGCCTCCTGGTGCGGTGTCTAAAAATCATTGCCACTGATGAGACAAAGACGGCCAAGCATGGTACTACTGGCCATCCACCCCCTCCGTGTACCGTGCCGGCCTTTACAGTTGCTACTCGCGATCAGTACTTGTCTCAAAAAGTCTCTTTTGGCTATGACGGGGATCTTTGTCTTTGTGCACTTGCCCCAACAGTATCTTTGTGCTATACGGTGAATCTTTGTGTGAGCGTGTGCGCGTGTGTCACAGCTGCACACATGCCCGCCCACAGCGGCAAGGCTTTTTTAATTTCTTTTCCTCTTTTAGATGTCCCCCTGTGGTCTCTGACGCTGGTGTTGTTTTGTTGTTGTTTTTTTTGGTTCCACACAACCCGGACTTGATTCCCTCTCCATTTCCAATAAAGAGAAGACACGCAACTCAATAGATCGGGGGAGGTGTCGAAACCCGCCCAGCAATTGGTCGACGTGACCAGATTTAAAGTCCTTTCGAAGAAAGAGGGGAGGTCGGGTGACTCAAGAGGTCATGGACGATGAGCCGTCACCGCTGGGATCCTAGGATCGAATCCGGGTTTCAGCTGCAGCCTGTGATTAAACTGGGTTCTCAACCGCAGTGAGTTGATCGTCTCAGCATGGTCAACATTGACTCATAGAGAGGCCCAAAGACTCGCAGACAGACCCATAGACTCACATTGAGACGCATAGACTCACATAGAGACTCATAGACTCACATAGAGACTCATAGACTCACATAGAGACCCATACACTCACATAGAGACTCATAGACTCACATAGAGACTCATAGACTCACATAGAGACCCATACACTCACATAGAGACTCATAGACTCCCATACAGACCCATAGACTCACAGAGACTCATAGACTCACATAGACTCAGAGACTCACACAGAAACTCATAGACTCACATAGAGACCCATAGACTCACATAGAGACCCACACTCACATAGAGACTCATAGACTCACAGAGACTCATAGACTCGCATACAGACCCATAGACTCACACAGACTCATAGACTCACACAGAGACCCATAGACTCGCATAAAGACCCATAGACTCACATAGAGACTCATGGACCACACATAGAGACCCATAGACTCACATAGAGACCCATTGACTCACACAGAGACTCATTGACTCACATAGAGACTCATAGACTCACATACAGACCCATAGACTCACATAGAGACTCATAAACTCACATAGAGATCCACTCTAAACTAAACTTTTTTAGCAGCTAAAGGCCCACTGATCTATATAGCTCTTTTTGAGAACCGACTTGACCACAAACGAAATGGCTTATCTGGCAATGTATAGCAGCAGCCAAACACTCTAAACGCGTGATGTTGATTCTGAACGTGGAAGGAAAAACCAGAGGCCCCCGAGAAAAATCCACGCGACCACGGGGAGAGAGAGACACCGCAAACTCCAAATATACAGGAGTCAGGGTTGGGATTGAACCCACGACCTCCTGTATACCAGGCGAGATAGTATTAATATCACATAAGAACATTTATAGCAGCCAAATCATTTAAATGCATTGTTGTAGATGTGTAGAGAAATATACGGGCGTCAGGGTCGGGATCGAACCCACAACCTCCTGTACATCAGGCGAGGTCGTTGACACCTCGCCACTGTGGGAGCTGAGCACCAATGCCTGGAGGCTCATTTGCAGCCGGACGTCACGTTGACTTGTAGCACTCATATTCTTAGTTCTTTCGATAAAGTCACGTGACTTTACCGAAAGAACTAAGAATATGAATTACTGCAGTCACGAAAGCTTTAAATCAAAATTGTAGCACTCATGTTTGTTTTTTTGTGGGGGAGGGGGGTGGGTGGTGGGTGGTGGGGGTGGGGTTCAAGGCTCTGAATACCGGGCGACTTTCCCGAGAGGGAAACGTCAGCAAAATCAATTATCAATTACCCATGCTGGCTGGTGGCGGCCCCGTGCTGGGTTGGTGTCCGGTTCACCTGCCGAGGGCGACACATGACAGGGAAGAGAGCACGCGCTCGGTGGAACAGACAACAGGTGGGAGAAAAAAACAGCAGGTGGTGAACAAACAACGTGGGTGAACAAGCAACCGGGGTGAAACCAATGGGGGGGGGTGGGGGGTGGGGGGCATTGGCTCGATTAGCCGGACGCACTCGGTACGGCGGCGGCGCTGCATTAGCAGCGGCGACGAAAACGCGATTCACAACGTGCGCAGATCGGAACGCAGCGCTCCATCGAGAAGCTCGATGGGCGAGAGCCTGAACAGGTGAGTTCTGATCAGGTGAGAGAGCCTGGACAGGTGAGGCTCAACAGGTGAGGCCAAACATGTGAGAGTCTAAACCGGTGAAAGGCCGAACAGGTGAGCCTCAAGCTGCTGCTTAAAGGTGGGTGGTGCATTGATGCTGCGTGTGTGCAAGCACAATGTCTTGGGTTTGTGTCATTCGCTGAAGCTTTCGGGCTCTGGGCGCTGAACCGCGAACAGAGCAGCCGCTAGTGTTCCACAGTGCTTTATATTTATTTTACTCAACGATGCAAACAATAATTCACAGCTCTTTGTCAATCCACTGCTGGATGAAGGCCTTCCCACGCCCCTGCCGCCGTGATGCTCAGATGAGCTGTTTGATTGACGATACTTCACTACCCTGGCCAGTGCGGGGGGGGGGGGGGGGGTGGCGGAGAGGGTGGCTGGGGGTTTGTGAGGTGGAGGCCCACTCGCCACTGATCTTGGCCGCCGTCAAAAATCTAACTCAATTAGCAAATCACTGCGCTACCACTCCCCCCGGCCTTTAACATACAGACATAAAAACTGACGACGTGCCATCGTGTCTAGCTGTTCTGACGAACGTGGGATGGGGTGTTCATCTGTTAAAGGTCCCGTGCCAAGTTTTGAAAATTCCACGTTACTTTGGCATACAGCAGTCTATCCAACAAAGTGAGCGATGATAACGATGATATCCAAAAAAGTGGTCCTGATTTTATTGGCCTTGGAGGAACGATTGCCAATGATGATGATGGTGGTGGTGGTGGTCTGAGTTATTAACCCAATGGGAATTTTTACATAGGAAATTTGGGAAGCTGAGTCATACGCTCCGACCACAGAGCAAAGAAGTACAGAGAGGTACATAGAGAGAAAGAGGAACACGTGATGTCGAGGAAACGCGCAAGTGAGTTGACATCATTTTGACGGTTAAGATACATTCATTTAAAAAAAAAAACTCAACACATTCGCCAATAACAGCGCGGCATTAAAATAAAAAAAATAATAGTGGGTGACATTTGGCGGCAATGGCCCATCTTTACAGCGTATTGCTTCCTGTACTTACGCCAACGCAGCATTACCAAGTAATTTGTTAAGATGAGCAAGTGGGTCTGGGCAGGAGCTGCAATCAGCTGGTGTCAGCGCTGGACGAATCAGGGACTGCTGGAGGTGGCGACGGAATGAGCGAGGCCTTCATTCAGCGGTGGATTGATCATGGTTGCTGAAGATGATGATGACGATGAGGATGACGATCTTAGTCATCAACCCAACGGAATTTGAAGGTGCTGGAGGGGGAAATCACGTGACTACGTAGCACAGTGACTAAACGGCACGGCTTCAGTTTGGGAGGTCACATGTTCAAACCCTGGCTTGCTTTCATCATCATCATCATGATCATCATATCCGCTTGTTTTTGTTTGTTTGTTCCATAAGACCCGGACTTGATTCCCTCCCAATTCCGATGAAGAGAAGGCACTAAACGGAATTGACCGGGAGGTGTTGCAACCGTCCAGCAATTGGGCAACGTGACCGGATTTGAAGTCCTTTCGGAGACAGAGGTGCCGGGTGACTTAAGATGTCAGAGAACGCTGAGCCTGCACCACTGGAATCCTGGGTTAAAATCCGGGTTTCAGCCATAGCCTGAGATTAAACCGGATTCTCAAGCGTAGCAAGTTCATGGTCTCAGCATGGTTGCCATTGACTCACAGAGAGACCCATAAACTCACATAGAGATCCACAGACTAACAGAGAGACCCATAGACTCACATAGAGATCCATAGACTCACAGAGACCCACAGGCAATACAGGCTAAGGTGTGATTAAACCAGGCTCTAAAACGCACGAGTGCTCGCCATTTAACGATGCACTGACCCATCAAATCCCGATGATCATCAGCCATGATCTATCCACTGCAGGTGTCCAAGCTGTCACCATCTCTCACGGTCTCGCGAAATAACAATCAATCAATCAATTCCGTCCAATCTCTGTGTTTTAACCCCGATGTAATAAAAACGGGGGAAATATTAAAAATGCCGCGCTGACCCCCCCCCCCAACCCCGTTCCCCCTTCGCTCACCGGCGTCGAGCGTGGTGGTTTCCTGGACAGTGCCGGCGTGGTTGTGGTTCGTGTGTGGTACACGCGCTGCACCACCGCACGTACGCACAGCATGGTGGTGGTGTTCCCGGCGGGCCCCACCGCTCCGCCCTGCTGCCACTCGAGGGCCTCCAGCAGCGAGTCTGTTGCTCCGTGATGACCCAGGAAGAGACCCGTGACCAGGGCCGGCGCCAGATCCGCCTGCGGAACAAGACGATGGCAGAGGCAGCAACGGCAGCAGCAGCAACATCAGCAAAAGCAGAAACAGAAGCAGCAGCGGCAACAGCGGTAGCAGCGGCAGTGGCAGCAGCAACAGCGCGGCAGCGGAAACAGCGGCAGCAGCGGCAGCAGCAACAGCAGCAACAGCAGCCACAGCAACATCAGCTATGACAGCAGCACCCCCAGGTGTCCCTCTCAATCACGTGGGGTCGGATTTATTAGTCCTCAACCCGCTGCTGTATAAAGGACTCTCCAAGCCACATCAGTTACACGGGGAGGGTTACTTGACCATACTTCACCACACTGGTCAGTGCGGGTTGGCGACGACGTCAGTGGGTCTTCCATGCGGGTCTCCGTACAGCGCTCTCTCTTCACATGGGGTCGGACACGCAGATGTCACCGCCGATTCTGTGAATTCACTGTTCGATGAGGCAGGCCCTCCCGGACACCGCACGGGTGGTGGGGGGTTGTTATTTGACCATACTTCACCGCGCTGAACGAGTGCGGGCTTGCGAAGCTGACCAACTGTCAAGCACCACTCCTCACACACTCGCCACCGCCGCCAAATCTGGCCACGGGCCGTCCCCTTTTTGGTCGCCAACCTCTGCGCGCCACACTCCGGTGTGTCGATGACGATCGTCCGAGAATATCGGCCCGGGCGCAGGGGGAGCGTAGCGGAGTGTGGTACAACGCCGGGGGGGGGGGGGGGGGGGGGGGGTGGGGGGGGGCAGTAACCTGGTGGCTGAGCCTCCGGCAGGCAAGGTTGTGTCCCAGGGAGTGGCTGAACCGCGGAAGGAGGCGCGGAGCTTCGGTGACAGAGTGGCAGCTCGCACTGCCGCCACCGCCGCCACCGCCGACACCGCCGACACCGCCGACACCGCCGACACCGCCTACACCGCCGCCACCGCCTACACCGCCGACACCGCCGCCAAGGTTCTCCGCGAATCGCGTGCACAGCACGACCGGGAGCCGGTCGCCAGACTCCGAAGACAACCACAGCTTCAGCCTGGCTCCAAAGAGAGAGCGGAGAGGGGCACCACGGTAGCGAGATGTTAACTCCCTCGCCTGGTATGCAGCAGGTCGTGGGTTTGATCCCGACCCAGACGCCTGTTGTATATTTGGAGTTTGCGTGTCAAGGAAGCTATCTGCTGCACTGCAATGTACTGATTCTCTTTCCCTTTTTCTGTTGATGCGTGGGCGACTCGGGAAATCGTGGCTCAATCACTGCGTGATCCGTCAACCCCCACCCACCCACCACGGCCCGCCCCCGCCCGCCCGCCCATGGTTTCGTGTGAAGTGAAGATTCCTCTCAACGGGGGCTCCACGGTGGCTAGATGTTAACTCCCTCGCCTGGTGTGCAGGAGGTCGTGGGTTCGATCCCGACCCGACGCCTGCTGCTGTACATTTGAAGTTTGCGTGTCTCTCTCTCATCATCATCATCACGGTGGCTAGGAGATGTTAACTACCTCGCCTGGTATACAGGAGGTCGTGGGTTCGATCCCGACCCTGACGCCTGCAGTATATGTGGAGTTTGTGTGTCTCCCTCTCTCTCTCCCCGGGGTCGCGTAGATTTTTCTCCGGGTCCTCTGGTTTTTCCCTCCACGTTTAGAATCGATGTCACGCGTTTAGAGCATTTGGTTGCAATAAAATTCCAAACGATAAACCCACTTCGTTGAGGTACCATTAGTGGCCAGGTCACTTCTGAAAAAGAGCTGCATAGCTCAGTGGGCCTTACCTGGTAAGATTAAAAAAAAATTGTAGTAGTAGAGAGCGGAGAGAGCGGAGAGAGGTCGTGTGACGGTTGGCGGAGAAACCGTACCAAACATTTTGTCGTATTGTCTGTTAATGTAACTCGTTGACCCACCCCCTGCTGGACATCCACGAAAAAAGATTCCGATTCTGAATTCACGCCTCCGTGGCCCGCCGATTTGATAAATTGCCTTGACGCAGCACCACGATTCCGCTCAAGGATCGATTTAGGCATCGGCAGTGCGCTTCCACGGTATAACGGGTTGAGCATACTGCTGGAGTGTCATCTGTATGTATGTATGTTGAACCACTTTCGCACCGTTCGAAGCCGAGCGTGCTAATCGAAGGTGCAGGGTGGGGGGACAACAAACTAAAGACAAAAATCACTCATCAAGAAATTAGTTTTCAATGCAGATGATTTAAAAGTGCAAAGTTCCCAGTGGTTTCCTAATATCGGAAGGAAGAGCGTTCCAGACGGGCCGCAGAAGTGCAATGGATGGCTCATCTCGTGGCACTACACCGGCAGCACGATCGGCGTTAAAGTACGGGGGGGGGGGAATTCACACGCACACGAGACAATAACCAACAACAAAAACCACGAGGAATTTCGGAGCTTAACAAGCGGAGTTTGATTGACACGCAGCGAACACGCTTTGTGGGACTTGTGATAGGTTAATTTTGTTTATTATTGTTTAACCAGCTGAGAAGTCAAGGGACCAGGGCGAGTCGCATTTCCAAGAGTGAGCATTTAGTCGGGCAGTCGAGAGCAGCGATTGGTGCTGTGTACACATTACAAATTGAGTTTTGCTAATTTGGATCCCCTACACCAGCTGCACGCGATGGCCAGCTACTCTTTCGAACGACACCCAGGGGGATGCTTTGACGGCCACTGCGAGTGAAGCCGAGGGCGCGTGGTAGCCCTGCGATTGTTAGCACTCGCAGTGGTAACCAGGGCGGCCCACCGGATTCAAACCGCTAACCTCTGCATGTGCTCCCCTACGGAGTGGATGTGCCGTGAACTTGAAGCGAGTTGTGAAGCAGTTCCGTGAACTACAAACTGGGTACAAAAATTGTGTAGTAAAAATATCTATGACATAAAAATGTAGACGTATATATTTTTTATTAACGGAAAAAAATGGGGATCAATGTTTCGCTCCCAGGCTGCGTGGCTACAGCATCTGTAACCACACGTATGCGGCGATGGTGGCAGCAGTGGTGGCAGCAGTGGTGGCGGTGGCTCAGAAACCACCCCGGCGATAAATGAATCAGCGCTTCCGCCTCACCCAGGCGTAGCCACGCACCCGATTATTTACCGTGCCAATATCACTTTTTTATAATTATGTTTTTTTATTATTATTACTACGAGCAGCCCGCATATCCTTTGGACGTGCCCATCCGTCCCTCCTGCAATCCAGCCAGAAAAACTTGTTTTTTAGATATATCATAAAAGTAGGATAGCACAATAGAGTATCCTGCGGGCGTGCATTGGATGCAAGGCTGGGGTGGAGGGTGTATGGGATGGAGGGTGTGTGGGGTGGAGGGTGTGTGGGGTGGAGGGTGTGTGGGGTATGTGGGGTGTGTGGGGTGTGTGGGGTGGAGGGTGTGTGGGGTGGAGGGTGTGTGGGGTGTGTGGGGTGTGTGGGGTGGAGGGTGTGTGGGGTGGAGGGTGTGTGGGGTGGAGGGTGTGTGGGGTGGAGGGTGTGTGGGGTGGAGGGTGTGTGGGGTGGAGGGTGTGTGGGGTGGAGGGTGTGTGGGGCGTCAGCACGACGCACGAACCCGGCTCAACCCCCAGGGGATGCATGCGTGTGACGCGCCAGCCAGGCAGGAATCCAGCCAACAAAACTTTTTGTTCTCGTATAGTGCGATTATTATTACGCTTGCTCCCCCTGGAAGGCCTCAAGGCTCTTTCTCAGGAAGGTCCTGCCACGTTTTCTCGGGAGGGTGCAATTTTGACGAGTGTAATCCCAGTTGAGTAATCAGCATTGGTGATGTTTGGCCACTATTAGTTGCATTGTGTGTTTTTTTTCACCTATAGGTGAAGAAACCGGAGAGCCTGGAGGGAAACCCATGCAGAACACGGGGAGAGAATACAAACTCCACACAGAAAGGACACCATAGTCGGGAATTTAACTCACACCACACATCCAGTAAGACCCCTCGCTACGGCTGCAGCTACGAATTGAAAAATATCTTCTTAGCTCAAATGGGCTGTACTCGGAAGAAAAAAAACTTTTAAAAAACTTCTGATTCTACTTAAGTGACGGAGGCGAGATGTTAACTACCTCGCTTGGTATACAGGAGGTCGTGGGTTCGATCCCGACCATGACGCCTGCTGAATATTTGGAGTTTACGTGTCTCTCTCTCTCTCTCCCCATGGTCGCGTGGATTTTTCTCCGGGGCCTCCAGTGTTTCCCATCCACATTTAGAATCCACATCACAACGTTTAGAGTATTTGGCTGCTGCTATACATTTCCACGTGATAAACTCCACTTCGTTGAGCTACCATTTGTGATGGCCAGGTCGCTTCCGAACAAGAGCTTGCCTGGTGAAATAAAAATAGGAATAAAAATAGAAGCATCCATGCTCAAAACAGGCTGCAAATCACATGCCTTTATATTAACTTTCATCATCATATAACAAAGATCAAAGATCCCCCATAGAGCCTTAACAGACTGTAGGGGCAAGTGCTGTTAGCGAACACCTATGAAGGCCGGAACGGTACACGAGTGGGTGGGTGGCCAGCACCACGCCCGACCGCCTTTGTCTCCCCAGTGGCAATGTTTACACACCACACCAGGTACTCATTTGAGGCTGAGTCGACCTAGGGGAGGCCCAGGACCGGTTCAGGTAATCGTCGCTGGTGGTGTTGGCCGTGAGCGGGAATCGAACCCGGGTCGCCAGGTTCGTAGCGCAGCGTAGCGCTTACCGCTACACCATCGCTCCCCGCTCATTATATAACACGCATACACACACGTGCACGCGCGTACAAGTATGTGTGTGTGTGTCTCCTCCGGCCGCTACCGGCAGATTAATCGGGGCTGGGGCCGAGCCGCGCGTGTGTTTGCGGGACGAGGGATGACGGGACGAAACCCGCCACGGCCGGAGGACAGGCGTGCCTCCCCCAGATAAGGGGATGTGCGTTTCTCAAGAACGCCTCTATCAGGCAGACATCACTCCTTGGGCAACGTGCATTGTCACTCAGCGCTCTTCCCTTTTTGATCAGAGCAAATAAGCCCCCACCGCCCCCTCACTCACCCACCACCTACTCCTTCCACCCACCCCACCCCCAACATCAACCACTGTATTGATGTGCACCGGTGAAATGTAACAGTTGAGATCCCCTCCCAGAGCAATCTATGTGTCCCCTGTTGATTTATAAGCGGGCATACATATAGACACAGTAAGACAAAGATGTATGTTGAACTTCTTTCGCACCATATATAACCAACCGTGCTAATCGGAGGTGCGGAAAGATCCCCTCCCGCTGTATAGCCTTAACAGACTGTTGGGGAAAGTGCCGGTAGCGAGTAGCACCTGCACTTTGTCTCCCGAGAGGCGATGTTAACACACCACACGAGGTTCTGATTTAATGACCGAGTCAACCTAGGGCAGTCGAAGGGAACCGGTTCAGATAATCGTCACTGTTGGTCTGCGAGCATGAATCAAACTCCACTTCAGGCTCGGACATTTGGTAATATCATACATGCAAGCATATACGTAACACACATATACATACGTGGATATATACTCATACACATATAACTGTACTCATATACATAGACCAGTGGTTCTTAACCTTCACTGCATCGTAAAAAAAATGTACAACGTTAATAAATACATAGGTATAATGAAACAAAGTAGTTGTACTTACGTGCCTGTGCTTAATCTGGCCGTGTCTCGCACCCCCAGGGGGTGCATGCACCCCAGGTTAAGAACCACTTACAACGATATATGATGTTCACACTACGCACAATGACCCCCCACCCTGCCACATAGCCTTTAAAGGACTGTTGGGGCCAGCGTTGTGAGCGAGAAGCTATCAAGGCCGGCGCGGCACAACTAGACATCGTATTGGTCGGGAAAGCCTCTGTGTTAAACAGAAATCGTATGGTCCACACCTGGTACTCATTTAAGGCTGAGTCGAACCAGGGGAGGCTCAGGACCAGTTTACACATCACTCACCACAAATGGCAGAGGCAGGATTTTCAGGTGGGGGGGGGGGGCAACCCCTCCAGCAATGAAAAATGATAGGGGTTGTTAGTAAGTAAGGACTTGTCCCTTGCTTTTTATTCGATGTGTGTGTGGCAATTGCGCAGCCATCAATCGAGGGTCGAATTCGAACCGTGTGTGATCGGCATTGCGCTCGCTGAAGGTGAATACCTTCAGGGAAGTCGTGGACTCTGTATACGCAACTGCGCACAATTCTGTGAGTCGCTTATAACTGCTTTGCCGTTACTTATTGCCAATTATGGACTCAGACTATTGTCCTATCATCTCATAGAGTCCCTGGCACGTAATAATAATATGCTACACAGTGGCAGTGGGGGTCGCAAAATGCCGATTTATTACTAATAAACCCCAATGATCTGATCGAAATTAGGGATTTCGATTGGATCATTGAGGGGGCACGTGCCACCCCACCCACACTGGATCCGCCAGTGCTCACCACTATTTTATTAACCGTTTCCAAAGTCACTGCATTCAAGTAATATGGGCACATCCTTTCATATGCCCTGGAAAGGAAGTGTTTATCACACCATAAATCTTGGTTTTGTAAATCTCAAAGCTGGAATTTTGTCAAATGAAGTGAAAATCCCAATGTAAAGTGACATGTTTATGTATGTAGCCATTGGCCACTGGGGCTGTGACCATCAACTAATCGATCACACTCGCTAACCAGGTTCAATCGCAACCAGTTCTGTGTGACTCTACGGGTCTCTATGTAATTATATGTCTCCATACAAATCAATTGGTTTCTATTCGAGTCGAGTCTATACATTTCAATGTGAGGAGTTGGGTCTCTATGCGAGTCTACGTGAATTTTACACGAGCCTGTGGTTTTCTATGCAAGTCTATGTATGGCTATCTATTCTTATAGGTCTATTTTATGCATCTACAGTATATATGCATGTTGAACTTCTTTCACACCGTACGTAGCCAACCATGCTCACTGGAGATGCGGGAACGGACAACAAACTAAACACAAAAAGCAGTTCTAAAGAAATGAATTTCCAATCTAAATATAAAAGTGGCATAGCTTCAGTGGCTTCCCAATATCGGAAGGAAGAGCATTCCAGACGGCCGCAGAAGCGCATCTGAAAGCGCCGCGCGATGCGGTGACCACCGCCTTTGTTCGATGGCTATCTTGAAGCCGTTGCTGCGAAGATGACCAGAGTTCGCGCGAGGGTTTACGCTCCTCGACAAAATCAGCTAGGTGTTGTGTGGTTCATTTTATGTCAATCGCATACCTCCATATATATAAAAGGCAAAGTTGTGATTATGTGTGTCTGTTCAAAATGTTTAGCGTACTTCCCGACATGCAACAAACTTGAAATTTGCCATGTGGGTACTATTCAGACTGTACACCATGCAAACATTATAAAAATACACTTTTTTTTTGGGGGGGGGGGGGGGTGGGAGCTCAATAATGCATAGATTTTTTGCACGGCAAGTGAGCTGTGATGTCAAATCTGTCATGTGACCCGCGCATGTGAAAGCGTAACGCATTGTAGTGTAGTGGTTAGCGCTACGCCGCGCGTACGAACCCGGCGACCCAAGTTCGATTCCCGCTCACGGCCACCACCGGTGACGATTATTTGAACTGGTCCTGGGCCTCCCCTAGGTCGACTCAGCCTCAAACGAGTAACTGGTGTGGTGTGTGAACATCACCACTGGGGAGACAAAGGCGGCCGGGCATGGTGAATTAAGCCCCGGGTGAAGCCGGGTTGTAAAGGATAGTACTTTATATGTATCTCCATATAAAGTATATGGGCCTCTACGTAAGTTTACGGGCTATGTAAGTTATCGGCGAGCAGGCCGAGAACCATCAACCCACTAAGCTTAGAACCCAGTTTAATCCCAACTCGGTCTGTGTGAGTCTAAGCGTCTCATACATATATCTGCACGCATGCTAAAAGTGTCACCCATCCTGGCCGGGTCCCCATTGAAAAGGAGCTTGTTGGCTCAATGGGCCTCGTGAGATTCATTAAACTGACCGACCGCACGTCTGTCAGTCTCTACGCGAGCCTACTTGCTGCTACGCAAGTCCGTTGGTCTCTTCGCGAGTCTACGTGTCGCTGGGAAAGTCGAGGTGTGTCAAAGCGAGTCTTGCAAGCCCCCACGGCGACCGGGCTGATACCATCAACTCGTTAACAGTCGGGAAACCCGGCCTTATTCCTAAAAAAAACACGATTATAACCCAGGCTCATAATTTCCACATGATAAGCCACTTTGCCGAGCTATCATTTGCGGCCAAGTCGCTTCTGAAAAATACGTTAAGACCCCAGTGGGCTTTGCCTTATAGGATGGGGATTGTTTAGTTTTATTTTGTACGTGTGTGGGTGATTTACCTTTCTCCTATCGTGTTTTCGTTTTATTTGTTGTTGTGACGTTCTGAACCCGTGCCCCGACTGGACATCTGTGAAAAAAGAGCTTTGTAGCTCATCGAATTCCTCATGCAGTCTAAATTAATATTCTGAGTGGTGGCTCTGTGTCTCTGACTCCAGTGTCAGTGCCCTGGGACATGGGGGACACAATTCTTGTTCAATCAAGCGTGCAGACTGCGGCCTATCCATTACGAATGTGATCCGAAACCGGAAGAGACACCTGCGGTTAGATTGAGGATGTGGGACACAGAACCAGGAAAAAAACTTGGTGGACAGGCATGAAATCTGTATGCATTCAAATCGGCGGCAATATGCATCGGGGCAGGTCAACAAGAAACAATATAAAAACACATTAGAAGTGCAAAGTATAAGAAAGGGAAGCAAATCACAAAAAATATACAAATAAAACTGAACAATTTTATCCTACCAGGTGAAACCTACAAAGCTGTTAAACTTATTTTTCAGAAGCAACCTGGCCACAAATGATAGCTCAACGAGGTGGCTTACCATCACGTGGACATTTTTACAGCAGCCAAATAATCCAAACAGTCTAAACGCATGTGCAGAAGCTAGCTGCCTGCTGGCCACGGCGAGAGGAACATCAGCAGGCAGAGAGAGTTCGTGGAGTTTTGAGATTCTTCCACTGAAGCAGCCCAGACTACGGCGAGTGGTTTCCCGCATGGTCCAACGGCCATCTCCCGTAAACAACGCGACGTGGCGATGCCGTGCACTCACCAGGGCGCAGACACGTGAACCGTGTCTCCGTTGCGCAGCTTCAGGTGCTTGACGGCGTCTTTCGCGAAGAGGGCAAAGACGGTGTTGTCCCCGAGTGGCCCCGACGAGGTGGGCTCTCGAAAACCGTCATCGTGCCCACGTCGCTGCTCTCCCGCATCTCGGCGTCTCCCTCCTCCTCCACTTTCCACTTCCTTCGAATCCGCGTGCGGTCCATCGCTCCGACAGTTCCGGGGCGACCTGGTTGAACCCGGGTCCGGAACGAGCGTCAAGCCGAACTTGCTTTGCGATTCCGAAACCGTCGCCGCCAATTCCCCGACAGTTGACGTCCCTTGCGGTCGCGCACCTGCGTCTGATTTTTCTTGCTTTGAGTCTGTGGCGCCCATGGAGAAGAGAGCTTGCCGCGGCGACACTGGTCTGCAGGCGGTCACGAGCAATGAGCATTCCGTGTGCTGCGTGAGGATACGCAGTTTCAAAGGCGCTCCCCCCTCCTCCTCGTCCACGGAGACTGTGAAAATATAAGTAAAAGTGTCGAAATTATTTCTCACATCGAATAAGGATTGTTTTTTTCTTCTTTTATTTATGTTTTCTCTGGAGACCAGCAGAGATCGATCATCGATGTTTGGTAGCCGTGTTGATGGCATATCGTCGTGATTACTCACTTAACAACAGAGCGGGCCGTGTGAAGGCTGCTGCCATCTTTGTTGACACCCACCTCCCGTTTACAGCCCGGAGGCGGTGGTGACAATTCAATATCCCTACGGTGTGGTCGAGTCTATGCACAGGACAACCGCTGTGGACCTTCCAACGAGGCGGTACTCATTTTACCCAAGCTGGAGGGATGATGGGCTTAGGCAACCACCCCCTTTCCACCCCCCCACCCTCTCCAAAATAACCATGTCACCTGACCCAACATCAAGGTAACAGCCAATCAGATTTCAATTCGACACGAACCATTACAGATTCGTCGATTCCAATCCTATCCTGCTTCTACTACTCAAGACAACGCGACACCAACAACGGTGTCACAGTTGAAAGCAACGAGTGCAAACGTACCTCCGACGCGCACAAAGTCGCAAGTTGGTCGGTCCGGTTTTTGGTTTGGCGTTGAACTTTCTTACCCGCTGACGGCGCGGCAGACCCGCAGGCGCGGTGATGGTGGCGCCAAAACACGATGGAAGATTTCTCCCGGCACTGAAGCCTCCAGGCTCTCTCTGCCAGGCCTCCCCTGCCCCATGGACAACAGAAAGACAAAAGGCAGTGCCCGTCGCGTGACGGGCGTCAGGGTCCACGTCTCCGCCACAATTTACACCGTGAGTTACTCAGTTGGGATCACAACAACAACAACAACCGCCATTTGCCACTAAGTGGCGGTGACGTCAGCACGGCGCTTGTGCCAGGCTAGTTGCACCTTAAGGCCACGTGAAGTGTAGAACGCCCGCTGGCAGCAGGTCATGGGACAGACCCAGTTGCCATGGATGGGTTGTGTAACTAAGATGACTGGCCGATGAACCATATATGCCCCCTACTATGTTAACTTGTTTTGTTTTAGCCACCCGGCACTCCGCTCATTGTTGTGAGCGTCGCTACTCTGCCCTCCGTTATTGCTGGAGGGCGTCTGCCTCCAACTGCCCAGTAGCGTCCTTCACGAGCCTCCTCCACAGAGGCCGATCTTGACACCGCTGGTACCAATTATTGCCAAGTCCACTCAGCTCCATATCCTCTCGCACCACATCACTCCATCTCTTTTTAGTCCGTGCCTCGCGCGTTTAGTTGGGATCACTCACACACACAGCAAATCTCAAAATGCCGCTGAATTTGCAAAGCGCGCAGTCTTCGCATACAGAGGGAAATCACAGACAAGTGCTTGGGAAGGGCAGCCAGCACCGGCGCCAAACAATCGCCCAAGCTCTGTGGTCCTATATGGCGATTGCTGGACCAACCCGATTAACGCGCGGTTTATAGGTATGGGAAGATACCGGAGTGACGAATGCGTGGAGTTTAGCGATAATCTGTGCACACGGGCCCAATGGTGACATCTGGTGGTGTGGCAAGAGATTGCGTGCACGTGCACAGGGGGTTACCCCTACCGTTGCATGGCGAGAAGAGTTCACACAACCCGTTGTCGATATTCTTCCATTAGGGAACAGCAGCAGCGGCAAGCAGCAGTAGCAACCAGCAGCAAGCAGCAGCGGCAAACAGCAGTGGCAAGCAGCGGCAAACAGCAGCAGTAGCAATCAGCAACAAGTAGCAGTACCAGCAGCAAACAGCAGCAGCAGTAGCAAGCAGCAGTAGCAAGCAGCAGCAAGCAGCAGCAGCAAGCAGCAGCAGTAACAAGCAGCAGCAGGAGCAAGCAGCAGCAGTAGCAAGCAGCAGCAGTAGCAAGCAGCAGCAGCAGGCAGCAGCAGGAGCAAGCAGCAGCAGCAGTAGCAAGCAGCAACAGTAGCAAGCAGCAGCAGGAGCAAGCAGCAGCAGCAGTAGCAAGCAGCAGCAGTAGCAAGCAGCAGCAAGCAGCAGCAGGACCAAGCAGCAGCAGCAGGAGCAAGCAGCAGCAGTAGCAAGCAGCAGCAAGCAGCAGCAGACGCAAGCAGCAGCAGGACCAAGCAGTAGCAGCAGGAGCAAGCAGCGGAAAGCAGCACCGGCAGTAACAACAGCAAGCAGCAGGAGTAGCGAGAGCAACAAGCATGAGCGACAGTAACAACAGCAAGAAGTAGCAAGCAGCAGCATGTAATCACAAGTAGTAGCAGCAGCAAGCAGCAGCAGAAAGTGGCATCAGTAGCAAGTAGCATCAGTAGCAAGCAGCAGCAGCTAGCAGCAGCAAGCGACATGAGCAAACATAACACGAGCAAGGGGAAAAAAAAATCCGTCCGTTGACCTTTGACCCTCACCGGAGGAATCGCTTCTTGCCTGCGGAGTCCTGCAGCTCGGCGCAAGCACCGCGCTCTCCCCCCGCCGCCCACTCGTCGTCCGGCGGCGTCCGCATCATCTCCAGCCACTCGCTCACACGCCTCCGGCGAGGACCCGCCGGGGCGTCGGCGGAGAGGGGTGCCGAAACGGTGGAGCCGCGGCCACCGCGAGCCTCCTCTTCATCGTCGTCATCGTCAGTATCATCATCGTCGTCGTCCGAGGCGAACTGAGCGATCGTGATGGCAGCTCCGCACTGTTCACACAGAACGGGTCCGCCGGTAAGTTTTCAAGTTGTCGAGTTTTGTTTTGCTGTAGCCAGGTGAGAACTCGACAGACCAGGGCTGGAGTCTAGTTTGCACGGGCGTTCTAGTGGTATCGTTTTCGAAACTTTCATAATTCGAACCCTGACCATCTTGCAACTGGCATCGGTGGGGATCTTTAACATCCACTGCGTGCGAAGCAGACGGCGCGTGATATTTTTACAGTCATTTCACGCAGCGGTATTAACCGGGGCGGCCGCTGATGTTCGAACCGCGAACCTCTGCAGCAAACGGCGAACGCGTAACCGTGGGGGCACGTCACCGTCCCCAGCAGGTGTGCACACGTCTGTTCCTTCTTCGCGAATCGTTTACGATTCTAAAATCTTGCCAAAAGATTATCCAAAATACAGTGGTACCTCGGTATACGTCGTTAATTCGTTCCAGAAGGTAGGAGGGCTTGTACCGAAAGCGACGTCTACCAAACTAATTTTTCCCATAAGAAATAAAGGGAAGGGAAATAATCCGTTCCAGAGTATAAGAAATGATATTTTATATGGCATATTATACATTAATGTGGTTGTATAACATAATGTAGACTCTACTTATTACTAAAATGCATACATACATTAAAATAAAATACATTGAAATTATTATTTTTTTTACATCACTTTAGCTTGCTGAGAACAGTTGATAGCCTACGAGTATGGTGGCGAGGAAGGGGATGAGGAGGAGGTGTTATTTTTTGGAAGGAGAGTGCCCTTCCATTGAAACTTCAGGAAGCTGAAATTCACAGAAAGTTCTAGCAAGGGTTGTGCACTGAACGAGATCTACTGTACAGGCAGACTGAGGTAGCGGCGCTTTGTTCCAGTCGTGAACGGGGTCTACGCGGGTACGTGGCGACTCATCCTGACCCATACGAGTTCTAGCAAGCGTGTCGTATCCCAAGCAAGACGTCGTATCCCCAAGACATTTTTTTCTCGTCAAAACACGACGTACACCAAATTCGACGTATTCCAAAGCGTTTGAATACCGTGGTATGACTGTATAAGGAAACTTTCGTATGTATGTTGAACTTTTTTCAAACCGTACGTAGGCAACCGTGCTAATCGGAGGTGCGGGGAAGGACAACCAATGAATGAGTGGGTGAGTGGGTGAGTGAGTGAGTGAGCGAGCGAGTGAACGAGTGAGTAGATGAGTAGGTGAACGACTGAATGAGGGTGGCGTGGACAAGTAAACAGGTACAGTATGTTGAACTTCATTCGCACCATACATAGCCAACCGTCCTAATCGAAGATGTGGGGGGAAGGACAACAAACTAAATACGAAAAGCAGTTCTAAAGAAATGAGTTTACAATATCGATGATTTTAAAGTGCATAGCTCCCAGTGGCTTCTTAATATGAGAAGGAAGAACGTTCCAGACGGCCGCGGAAGCACGCGATGCGGCAAACCATCGTTGTTCGATGGCGAGCCAAAAGCCGCTGCTGTGAGGATAACCGGAATCCTCGTGCTATTGGAAACTCGCTGTGGAGGAGAGCGGGAAAATCGATCGAAGGCTCCTCAAAATCTGGCAATAAAAACCAGCGGCAAGCGGATAAGCCTTTTCGGCCAGGGTGAAGATGTCGCGTCCGAGTCGTGTCGGCTCAAGATGTGCCGCTGCCACTGCCGCTCTTTAGAACACCTCCAAGGAGCAAAGTTCAGCGTTGCCGAGCGTTACACGGCCCACGCAGATGTGCGTCACGTTCCTTGTGTTTTTGTGATTTTGCAAACGTGTCTTGCGATTGGACAGCATGTAGCACGCTACGTAAATTGAAATTGTTGTTGTTGTCGTGATTGTTGTGGTTGTTTGCCTGACTGACCGGTGACGGGCGGAGTGTGGGACTGCTGTCGACGCTGCGTTCGGAATCGCCGATGTCAAATTCCACCAGGGGAGAGTCCAAGGGGAGAGCGTCGTCCGACTCCACCGACTCGATGTCTTCTGAGCAGCAAGGAATAAACAAGCGTAGCCTTCGCGATATAAACCAGCGACGTCAACCCTCATAGAGCCCAAGACTTCATATCACACAACCCACAACGTCATTTAACACGACCCGCAACTTTATCCTTTTCCCATTCCGAGACATCTGCAAGTTGCAGGCTGGGTGTCCCGTTCACCGCTGAATCCCGGAACACGCAAGCGGTTAGTGTTAATCTTATTGAGGGGCGTAGCGCCGTTGTTTTTAAAGACATTGTACTCACCGTTGAGACCTGTGGCGACATGACCACACTCTACGATGACTGGCACCAAGCCGTGCCACACGCCCTCCCGCATGGCCTTGTGGGAGGCTTGGTACATCTTCCGACATGAAGACGTACCGATAAAAGTTATGTTATTTATTTTAATAATTGTTTTTCTTCTGATTTCGTTTCGATGGCATGTTGTCATTGGAAGGAAAACTGATGACGTGCATATACCTGATGACGTACCAATGAAGGAATGTTGTTTTATTTTAATTGTAATTCTTTCTTCCGAATCAGAAGAAAAACGGATGACATACATGTACGCACCATACGTCATCGGAATGGAAAAAGATTAATTTCACACGACCCGCCACTTCGTGTCCACCAACCCCCGAAACCCAACTTGCACAACTTACCGTTGTCGTCCGTCGCAGGCGTGAGCACGCTGCGGCTGTAGGCTACGGCCTGAGCCAGCCCCAGCCGCTGCTCGGCCACCAGCGAGCCGGCCCCGCCGCGCCCTCGCCTACGTGAGCGGCGCCGGATCGCGACGTCGGCGTCCGGCGACTCGTCACACGAACCGCCGCTGGTGCCGGGACTGGAGATGATGGCATCCGCGTCGCCTTCGTGCCACGCGGCACGACCATCTGATGGGGACATCACGAGCGGTGCGGGGAGAGGGGGGCGGAAGGGAGGGGGGGGGGGGGGAGGGGGGAATGAGCTCGATGTGGATTCTGCTGCGGTAGACAGGTTTGTCCGAGGGTGCTTCTAAACTTCTCAAGCATGTTCGTAGCAGTCAATATTTTGATTCGTATCTTGATTTTTTATGGGGTTGGATCGTGCAATGTGGACAAATTTGTGTCATTAAGCCCCCCCCCCCCCCCCGTCACCCGACACAGCTGAACAAATTAAACTGTCACGTGCACAAGGAGAAGGAAAAACAGCAAAATTACTCTCGCTCGCTCCTGAAGCCCTCTCCTCGTGGCCAGCGGCCCTCAACATTGGCATCTATAGCTCCTGAACATATTGCCCAATGCAAGAATAGTATAGTCTATGGGCAATGTGAGTCTATGGGCAATGTGAGTCTATGAGCAATGTGAGTATTTGGGCAATGTGAATCTATGGGCAATGTGAATCTATGGGCAATGAGAATCTATGGGCAATGTGAGCCTATGGACAGTTTGAGTCTGGGCAATGCGAGTCTACGGGCCATGTAAGTCTATGGACCCTATAGTAAACCACTGTTCGTCTGCCCTCCTTCAACAGAGGAGGAAGAACAAAACGACACCAACTCTCTCTCTCTCCTGAAGCCCTCTCGTCGTGACCAAGAGAAGACCTTCACATTGGCCAACGAGCTCCTGAACAATATATTGCCGTCGGCATCGCACGCAAGAATCATCATCATCATCACCACGATCTATAGGCAGAGAGCCCATAGGTGTCCACTACAGATCGTCACTTTCCTCTGTCTTGTGCCAATATGCTCAAGTAGTGCACACCCTCCTGGCACCAATCTCTCATGTCGTGGTCGAGCCATTCTCTGTGAGGTCTTCCTCTCTTTCCGCAGATGAAGATGTATATCGCCTGACGAAGCTGGTTGTAATTACTGGCGAAACGTCGTTCTCGAATTGTAAATGTTGTGGGTTTACTCTCCAACACACCGTTGTGCTGAACTAGTAACTAATTGGCATGCTTTGTTTACGTGACAAACCTTACTGATTGGCTGTGTCCGGTAGTGGCGGGTTTAACAAAACATATTTACGCGATCTAACCCAAAAAAAACTCTATCATGGATAATATTGGTCGCGAAAGCCCACTACTACTACGTGTTAAATGGATGGCGGGAACGCTGCGGTGCCCTGCTCCGTGTGTGCACCTCACCTGGCAAGCAGCGCTGAAGCTCTGTGAGACACCTTGCCACCGGCTTCCACGATTTCCAGTTCGCCTGCCCAACGAAAAAACAAATCCATTCAGCCGCACGAGATTCCGTCATCTTCTCCATCGTCGGCCGCGATACATCAACCGCTGGGTTCACCGCAGGTCGTCATCGTCAGCCGTGTACCCGCCTGTCTATCCATCCACTTCCCCAAGCAGTCATCATCTCTTGAGGTGACGTGAAGTGTGGACGGGCTCGCTGGCAGGAGCTCATGGGCCAAAACGTTCTTAAACTTCCATTGCTCTCCTCAAAGACAAAACCTGCAAGTGTGTTAAAAGCTTGGGATGCGATATGACCCGGAGGTGGCAGTACAGTAGTTGATTGTGAAACTTTGGAGAGCGTTCATGCAGTGGTTAAGCACACTTCGCTACGAACCCTGCGACCTGAGTATCTGAACAGGTCCTGGGCCTCCACCAGATCGACTCCGTTTCAAATGAGTACCTCGTGCGGTGTGTAAACATCGTCACTAGGGAGACAAGGGTGGCCGAGTGTGGTGCTGGCCACCAAACCCCTCGTGTGCCGTGCCAGGCCTTCATAGGTGCTCGCTATCAGTACTTGCCGCAGGAGTCTGTTAGGGATATACAGTGAGGAAAAGGTATTTGATCCCCTGCTGATTTTGTACGTTTGCCCACTGACAAAGAAATGATCAGTCTATAATTTTAATGGTAGGTTTATTTGAACAGTGAGAGACAGAATAACAACAAAATCCAGGAAAATGCATGTCAAAAATGTTATAAATTGATTTGCATTTTAATGAGGGAAATAAGTATTTGACCCCCTCTCAATCAGAAAGATTTCTGGCTCCCAGGTGTCTTTTATACAGGTAACGAGCTGAGATTAGGAGCACACTCTAAAAGGGAGTGCTCCTAATCTCAGCTTGTCACCTGTATAAAAGGCACCTGTCCACAAAAGCAATCAATCAATCAGATTCCAAACTCTCCACCAAGGCCAAGACCAAAGAGCTCTCCAAGGATGTCAGGGACAAGATTGTAGACCTACACAAGGCTGGAATGGGCTACAAAACCATTGCCAAGCAGCTTGGTGAGAAGGTGACAACAGTTGGTGCGATTATTCGCAAATGGAAGAAACACAAAAGAATTGTCAATCTCCCTCGGCCTGGGGCTCCATGCAAGATCTCACCTCGTGGAGTTGCAATGATCATGAGAACGATGAGGAATCAGCCCAGAACTACACGGGAGGATCTTGTCAATGATCTCAAGGCAGCTGGGCCCATAGTCACCAAGAAAACAATTGGTAACACACTACGCCGTGAAGGACTGAAATCCTGCAGCGCCCGCAAGGTCCCCCTGCTCAAGAAAGCACATATACATGCCCGTCTGAAGTTTGCCAATGAACATCTGAATGATTCAGAGGACAACTGGGTGAAAGTGTTGTGGTCAGATGAGACCAAAATGGAGCTCTTTGGCATCAACTCAACTCGCCATGTTTGGAGGAATGCTAACTATGACCCCAAGAACACCATCCCCACCGTCAAACATGGAGGTGGAAACATTATGCTTTGGGGGTGTTTTTCTGCTAAGGGGACAGGACAACTTCACCACATCAAAGGGACGATGGACGGGGCCATGTACCGTCAAATATTGGGTTAGAACCTTCTTCCCTCAGCCAGCGCATTGAAAATGGGTCGTGGATGGGTATTCCAGCATGACAATGACCCAAAACACACGGCCAAGGCAACAAAGGAGTGGCTCAAGAAGAAGCACATTAAGGTCCTGGAGTGGCCTAGCCAGTCTCCAGACCTAAATCCCATAGAAAATCTGTTGAAGGAGCTGAAGGTTCGAGTTGCCAAACGTCAGCCTCGAAACCTTAATGACTAGGAGAAGATCTGCAAAGAGGAGTGGGACAAAATCCCTCCTGAGATGTGTGCAAACCTGGTGGCCAACTACAAGAAACGCCTGACCTCTGTGATTGCCAAAAAGGGGTTTGCCACCAAGTACTAAGTTATGTTTTCAGAGGGGTCAAATACTTATTTCCCTCAATAAAATGCAAATCAATTTAGAACATTTTTGACATGCGTTTTTTCTTCTGGATTTTTTTGTTGTTATTCTGTCTCTCACTGTTCACATAAACCTACAATTAATATTATAGACTGATCATTTCTTTGTCAGTGGGCAAACGTACAAAATCAGCAGGGGATCAAAAACTTTTTTCCCTCACTGTATTCTGTCTCCCACTATTCATATAAACCTAGCATTAAAATTATAGACTGATCATTTCTTTTTCAGTGGGCAAACGTACAAAAGCAGCAGGGGATCAAATACTATTTTTCCCTCACTATCCAGGGGATGTTTTGTTTGTGAAGCCCTTGCGTGTTCTATCCCCGTATACTTGGTGGGTTTTCTATCAACCGCTGGGTTCACCGCAGGTCGTCATCGTCAGCCGTGGACCCGCCTGTCTATCCATTCACTTCTCCAAGCAGTCATCATCTCCGGTCGTCGCACGATGGAAGTTATTTGCCGGTGATGTTGCTACCGCTGACGCTGCTGACGCTGACGCCGCTACAGTGGCAGTGACGCGCAAGCAGGAGTAACAAGATCAAAACTCAAACACGTTCCTCAATAACACCGTGGCCTCAAAAGGAAACAATATCAGAATCAGAATATTTATTTTGACTGGAGGAATTCCGATTAGCTATAAAGCTCTTTTCCACAGGTGTCCAGCAGCGGTAGGTAAGAACGTTACAACGACCACATAAAGCCCGCTGAGCTATTCGCTTCTTCTTCTTTGGTTCTTTCGGTAAAGTCACGTAGAATGAGAATAAAATAATAAATTGATCAAATAAAATAACACAATAAAATTCTCACGACGTTTCGGCCACAACACAAGCGGCCTTCATCAGGTGAAGGGACGAGACTGTCTGGAGGACAGCGCTGGAGCGAAAAAGCCACGCTCAGATCGTGACCTTTAAGCTGTGTGAGAAGAAACAAAGCGCCTTGACAAAGGAATTAGTGACCTGGCCACAAATGATAGCTCAACAAAGCGGCTCATCACGTAGTCAAATACCCTAAAACGCGTGACGTTGATTCTAAATGTGGAGGGAAAAACCGGAGGACCGGGAGAAAAAAAAAATCCACGTGAGCACGGGGGAGAGAGGCACGCAAACTCCAAATATACAGGGTGCCAGGGGTCGGGATCGAACCCACGAACTCCGACGCACAAGGCGGCGAGGCGTGTGAAATGGAGGAGGTGCGGTCTTACCGGATGGGCGATGTGGGCTGACGTGAACGCGTCGCCGCAGCGCGCCCACGACGCGTGAAGCCGCGCGACGTTTGGCGGTCTGCCTCCTCTCCGCACCACCACCTCATCCTCATCCACCTCCTCCGCCGTGAGTCTGCGCTCCTCCGCGCGCGAGCTGCCCGATGGGAAGGGTACATTCTCCCAGGAACGCTCCTTGCGCTGGACGGTGAAGGTGGGGGGGGGGATTAAATGCAAAGACGAAGATTGGCCTGCGTAGGCTGAAGGGGCAAGTGATGTCAGCGAAGCACACAAAGACAAAGATCCCCCGTATGGCCTTAACAGAGTTTTGGGGCAAGTTCTCTTAGCAAGCGCCTATAAAGGCCGGAATAGCACACGACGGGGGGGCGAGTGAACCAGCACCACGCCCAGCCTCCTTCGTCTCCCGAGTGGCGATGTTTACACATCGGCCGAGTCGAACTAGAGGAGACCCAGGACCGGTTCAGATAATCGTTGGCCACGAGTGGCAATGGGACTTGGGTCGCCAGGTTCGTAGCGCACCAGGCACTACGCCACTGCTCCCCACACAACGATCGCCGTCCACTACTAAGTGCACCTTGAGGTGACGTGAAGTGTGGAAGGGCTCGCTGGCTGGGGCTCATGGGACAAAACGTTATTAAACTTCCATTGCTCTCCTCAAAGACAAAACCTGCAAGTGTGTTAAGCTTCTGATGCGATATGACCCGGAGGTGGCAGCACAGTAGTGGATTGTGAAGCTTTGGAGAGCGTTCATGCAGTGGTTAAGCACACTTCGCTACGAAATCTGCGACCCGATTATCTGAACAGGTCCTGGGCCCCTGCTAGATCGACTCCGTTTCAAATGAGTACCTCGTGCGGCGTGTAAACATCGTCACTAGGGAGACAAGGGCGGCCGAGTGTGGTGCTGGCCACCAACCCCCTCGTGTGCCGTGCCAGGCCTTCATAGGCGCTCGCTATCAGTACTTGCCGGGATAGTCTGTTAGGGATATACGGGGGATGTCCTGTTTGTGAAGCTTTGCGTGTTCCATCCCCGTATGCTAGGTGGGTTTTCTCCGGGTCATCCAATGTTTAAGTATTGGTACGAATTAAAAAAAAAATCAATTCTTGAAAAAATCAACCAGAACATCTTCAAATAAAAACTCGATGAAGCACCTTCATGAAAAATAAGTAATGGGACTCAGTGTGACTTTCCTGGATAAATAAGCCATCATTATTAATTATTATTTACAGAACAGACCATGGAACGATAACGATTAAAAGGACCGATTCACAAGTACGGCCGCAGGTGTCATCACAGCGACACACTTCTCAATAGTCTGGCTCAACCGCCTCAATATGAAGTGACGGACGCTGCTCTACATCCATCATGGGCCGTACAAAGAAGAAGAAGACGACGACGACTGGGGCGGAATCAACAGAGCACCGATGTTCAGTTTAAATAAACCCTCGCTGCGTCAACACAAGGCCAGGGTTGGTCGATAACGCAGAGGTTATTGAAACTCCACAGGGTAGTCTGTGAGGTGGCCGGGAGATGGCAGCACACAGCAGGAGGGAGGGAAGCTTCATGAACCCATCTGTAATGCGTACATTTGAACATTATTTTCTGCCTGTGTGTGTGTGGTGGATTTCCACCGGGTCCTCCGCTCTCCTACCACATGTAGCCAAAGTCCCATTCAGGTTAATAAGTCTGTGTTCTCCAGTCTCTTGGGTGAAAACTGGGCTAGGTTTTTTGACCAATCCTGGCTAGCTGGCTCAAGAACGTAACGAGTAGCCAGGCGGTGGTGGCTATGCACGTGGCTGCCTGTAACCAGCACTGTGGAGGCAGCAGCGAGGGTTGGTGATCACCAAACACAGATGTCGTGAAACTCCCATAGCCCCGTGGGCGTCGAGGGGGAACCCGTGATACCCCCCGGCTCGCCGGGAGAAAGGCGGCGCGTCAGAGTGTGCGCTACATCTGTTCCATCTGTGTGGGATGGCGTGTTGCCCCCTCGCACGTGTGGGTTTTCTCCGGGTGCTTCTTCCTACATTAATTAATCGGCCGAAATCATAGTTAACAGCTCGCCACCGTAGTGTTAACCTGACGGGAAGCTTTAGGTACGGGGCGGGGGGATGGATCAAGACTCTCTCCGATGAGCTGCTTCACATCGCTTACAGAGTTGGGCTGGGTTGAGGTCTTGAGGTAGGAGTGCCACGGTGGCTATGAGATGTTAACCACCTCGCCTCGTATGCACGAGGTCGTGGGTTCAATCACGACCCTGACACATGCTGTATATTTGGAGTTTGAATGTCTCTCTCTCTCACTCTCATCATCATCACGATGGCTATGAGATGTTAACCACCTCGCCTCGTATGCACGAGGTCGTGGGTTCAATCACGACCCTGACACATGCTGTATATTTGGAGTTCCCATGTCTCTCTCTCTCATCATCATCACGATGGCTATGAGATGTTAACCACCTCGCCTCGTATGCACGAGGTCGTGGGTTCAATCACAACCCTGACACATGCTGTATATTTGGAGTTTGAATGTCTCTCTCTCTCACTCTCATCATCATCACGATGGCTATGAGATGTTAACCACCTCGCCTCGTATGCACGAGGTCGTGGGTTCAATCACAACCCTGACACATGCTGTATATTTGGAGTTCCCATGTCTCTCTCTCTCATCATCATCACGATGGCTATGAGATGTTAACCACCTCGCCTCGTATGCACGAGGTCGTGGGTTCAATCACGACCCTGACACATGCTGTATATTTGGAGTTCCCATGTCTCTCTCTCTCCCCGTGGTCGTGTGGATTTTTTTCTATGGGCCCTCCGGTTTTTCCCTCCACATTTACAATCAACATCGTGCGGTTTAGAGTATGTGGCTGTTAGAATATTCCACATGGTAAGCCACTGCGTTGTGCTATCATACTGTATGTTGGCCAGGTCGCTTCTGAAAAAGAGCTATCTAGCCAAGTGGTCCTTACCTGGTGAAATAAAACATAGCTTTAGCTTTAGTTTAAAAATAAAAGTGTTTTAGCTTGCATGTATAAACACATTAATTGGCAGGGGGGAGGGGGGGACATCTTAACATATAGAGGACCGCGGAGCTTGGGAAATAATTGTTTGAAGGTGCCGGCTGACCGCCTGGCTCCTATTCATATTCTTAGCTCTTTCGGTAAAGTCACGTTGAAGGGAAACAATAAAATAATAAAATATATTATGGCTCCTGTTGCCGCCTTCCATAGCTTTGGTTCCTCGGCGACTGTGAGAGAAGCAATTATCACGCTCGACAAGATAATGCAATGAAAATAATACAATGCAATTTTTTTTACACAAATAATAATGATGAAAATTATAATTATTATACATTTGTAATCTCCTATATACCGGAAATGTGTGGAAACGCAAGAGCTGCGTTCGTGTTTACATATGCCGTACACAAATGTGGACTTACAGTGACCACCCCACCGTAGCAACTAAGCCGAGGTGGAAATTCCACGTTACGCTGGCGGGTGCCAAGTCCGTTCCGCGAGAGACAACTTGCTGGGCTTATAGCTCGGGTAAACAATGGGCCAACGATGTTATTGATTCATTGTTACATACCCCGCAGCGTGACTTCGAGGAAGAACGTTGCGATATAAATCGCAACTTTATGTATGAAACGCTGGGCGTCAAATGTTAAAACATTGCGCGAGGCCTCACAACCGCCAAGAGCCCGCAAGTTGCCTCGCGTGAACTCGACGAGAGTTCGCACACCCCCGAAAGTTAACATCGCGCGACTTGGCAGTTGTGAGGCGAGCCTCCGTTACCTTCTTAGCAGGCATCAAAGAGCGAAAATGTTCAACTTTAAAAGCTTTTAATTAATCGATGGGTAGGGGAGGGGGAGGGGGGGGGAGGTTTACATTTCCCAGTTCACATCAGCGGCGGAAATGGGGCGCACCCAATCAGACGGCGGCGCAGGCTCGTCACGCGCAGCCGCGTGGGCCAATGGGAAGCGAGAGGACACCGTCGCGGGTTTAAAGCGGTCGGCTTATGCGCTGTAGGGAATGTGGGAAGGTAACGAGGGGCCGGCGGTGACGTCATCCGGAGGGACATTTAAATGAATGGGGGGGATAGAGAGGGTTCTGGGAACGGTGGTGCAGCGGTTAGCGCACTGTGTGTGTTGGGAGCGGTGGTGCAGTGGTTAGCGCACTCTGTGTGTGTGGGGGGGAGCGGTGGTGTAGTGGTTAGCGCACTGTGTGTGTGTGGGGGGGAGCGGTGGTGTAGTGGTTAGCGCACTGTGTGTGTGTGGGGCGGGGAGCGGTGGTGCAGCGGTTAGCGCACTGTGTGTGTGTGGGGGGGAGCGGTGGTGTAGTGGTCAGCGCACTGTGGGGGTGGGGGTGGGGGTGGGTGGGGGGGGGGTGGGGGGGGGAGCGGTGGTGCAGCGGTTAGCGCACTGTGTGTGTGTTGGGAGCGGTGGTGTAGTGGTTAGCGCACTGTGTGTGTGTGGGGCGGGGAGCGGTGGTGCAGCGGTTAGCGCATTGTGTGTGTGTGATAGGAGCGGTGGTGTAGTGGTCAGCGCACTGTGTGTGTTGGGGGCGTGGGGTGGGAGAGCAGTGGTTAGCGCACTGTGTGCGTGGGGAGCGGTGGTGCAGCGATTAGCGCACTGTGTGTGTGGTTAACGCGCTATGTGTGTGTAGGGAGCGGTGGTGCAGCGATTAGCGCACTGTGTGTGGGGGGAGCGGTGGTCCATAGACTCGCACAGATAGTCCAACAGACTCATCAAGAGACCCATAGACTCACAGATAGTCCAACAGACTCATCAAGAGACCCATAGACTCACAGATAGTCCAACAGACTCATCAAGAGACCCGTAGACTCATACAGATAGTCCAAGACTCATCAAGAGACCCGTAGACTCACAGAGAGTCCAACAGACTTATCAAGAGACCCATAGACTCACAGAGAGTCCAACAGACTCATCAAGAGACCCATAGACTCACAGAGAGTCCAACAGACTCATCAAGAGACCCATAGACTCACAGAGAGTCCAACAGGCTCATCAAGAGACCCATAGACTCACACAGATAGTCCAACAGACTCATCAAGAGATCCATAGACTCACAGAGAGTCCAACAGACTCATCAAGAGACCCATAGACTCACAGAGAGTCTAACAGACACATCAAGAGACCCGTAGACTCACAGAGAGTCCAACAGGCTCATCAAGAGACCCGTAGACTTACACAGATAGTCCAACAGACTCATCAAGAGACCCATAGACTCACAGAGAGTCCAACAGACTCATCAAGAGACCCATAGACTCACAGAGAGTCCAACAGGCTCATCAAGAGACCCATAGACTTGCATAGAGACCAACAGACTCATTAACACACCCACAGACTCACACAGAGTCCAACAGACTCGCATAGAGACCCATCGACTCATACACAGAGACCCACAGACGTAAAGACGTAGCATTACAGAGACCCATATAGACTCGCAGAGACACCCCATCGTCTTGCAGTATCGTAGTGACCCACATACACATCAAGGCACCAACAGATGCATACAGAGACCCATCGACTCACATTGGCCTAATCACTGGGAATGAGTCCAAGTTCATCCTTATCTCGGTCGACACGATTATCGCCGACCTGGCATCGTGCGATATATATCGTGCATGGTTGTATCGCCATATCGCGCAAGCCCCCTGTTTGCGCAGCGGCACGCCGCCTCCGCATGACTCGCCACCAGGCCAGCCGCTGAACTCCAGGTGAGGACAGTCGGGTGCAACGTGTTCCAACAGAGAGCGGAGGGTGGGAGCGGAAGGAGGGAGGGAGGGGGGGTGAGGAGTGAGGTGGTACACGCTGGTTCTCTGGGGCAAGAATGACAGAGATGAGAGGGGAGAGAGGGGGGTGAGAGGTAAGAGGAAAGAGAGGGTAGGAGGGGAGAGGGGGAGTAGAGGTAAACTTAAATGTTTCAAATTGTACTTTTGAGAGGTAGAACTAAAGTTTGAGAAACCCTGCTGTCATTGTTCTGAAAAGTAATGTTACCTTCCCTTTAATGAATGGGGTGTTTTTTTTACAGTAATGGTTAACTGCCTTAAATAATTGTACCATGTGTTTTTTGAAAGTTTACTCTTGTCATTCAGAGAATGAATCTGTTTGCAATGTTTAATTTTAGAGAAATGTTAGCAGAATCAGTCACAGCAAGTACATGTATTGGTTTCTTAAAATAAATATTTTACAACAACAAAAAAAAGAGGGGAGAGAGGGTAGGAGGTGAGAGGTGAGAGAAGGGAGTAGGGGAGAGAAGGGGAGGAGGGGGGAGAGAGGTAAGAGGGGAGAGGGTAAAGCCACGCACACGCATTTTTTTTTGGATATCTCACAGCTCAGTGAAGCTCAATGCATGCCTGGCCACGTGGCCGCTCTGCGCTTTGAGCGAGATCGCGCTTAGCAGTGCTCGGTCAAATGATGCAACCGGCGTGAGAGTTGCATTGCGGGTAATAATTAATGTAGTCGCTTAAAAAAAAAATGGGCATAATGATGACGGCAGTTTCTACAGCGCCGTTACGTGGTAAGCCATTACAAGCCCAAGGGGAACGTTGGGCCAACGTGTGGTTCCAACCACATGCCAACGTTGTTCCAACATTAGCCGGTGACGTTGGTCCAACGTTGGGCCGGTAACGTTGGTCGGTAACGTTGGTCCACCCGTTGGAATGTGTACTGGGAGGGCGCTGATTTAAGAACACAACCGTGAAACATTGGCCGCTTTATTAGTCCATTGCGATGGCAAATGAGACGTAGCGTCGCAAGGGTGGCGAATGACAAGGGGCGAGTCAAGGTGTGGATGACGCCAGAGACTCAGCGACTCGGACCGTGGGGCGAGAATGACAGAGGAGATGAAAGGGGGAGAGAGGGGAGAGTGGGGAGAGTAGGGAGAGAGGGGGTAGAGAGAGAGGAGGGTAGAGAGAGGGGGGGGGGATAGAAAGAGGGGGTAGAGAGAGAGGGATGGGGTAAGAAAGAGGAGAGCAGAGCGTGAATCTTTCATTTAAAAGGGAGGGGGGGGACAAAGCAAAGCATAAAAAAAACGAAATGATGAACGAAGCAAAGTGCCGACTACACCGAGCATCTTCTTGTTTCCTCTGATCGTAAAAAAAGAGGGGAGAGGAGAGAGGGGGAGATAGGGCGTGCAGTGGGGCAGACGCTCAGTGTGAATACGCAAACGTTGGGACAACGTTAGTATGTGGCCGTGAACGTCCGGCCAACGTGTTTGTTTACTGGGTTGCTTCCAGGCAAAGGTGCGGTCGCCGCAAAGGTGGCACGTTCCATTTGTGCTTTGGGTTGAAAAAAAAGAATTTGAATAACAGGCGGCCACATGAATATAAACCGGTACAAAACCGGTTCACAAACTACGAACTTTTTTTGCAATGGACGTATTATTTTCCCTTTTATTTTGTTTTCTTAGCTCTTCGGTAAAGTCACGTTGAAGGGAAACAATAAAATAATAAAATATATTGTTTTATATATTTTATTATTTTATTGTTTCCATTCAACGTGACTTTACCGAAAGAGCTAAGAATATGAATTACTGCAGTCACGAAAGCTTTAAATCAAAATTTTATTTTGTTGTTTTGTTGTTGTTTAAACTTTTGGAGTGAACGGAGCTCCCGCGTTGGTGTTCATGTCCAGCACACTGGGACGTGCCCGACTTTGGGCAAAACGTTGCCATGTGGGTTCGACCCGTTGGTCCGACGTTAGAGTTGAAACGATGGGGCTAGCAATTTCACAGGGCCGCACTTTTAATTTGTGGGGTAGTTTTTTGTTGTTGGTATTTTGCCTTTGAACAGAGAAACGAGTCGCTTCTTGGCACCACGCGGTGGCTTTGGCCGCCGTGAGGTTTGCGCGTTCGCGCGTGTCCAATCGATGCCTCCTTCAACCAAAATTCCACCGGAATCGGTCGCCTGACTTTCGAAAAACCGGTTTAATCGGTTCTGACAACGGCTGACGCTGAAACCGGTTATCATTGTACGCAAAGCCGTCGCGTCGCGGCAGACTGCAGGCCCCTCCAGCGTAAATACCGAGTCGCATAACCCACGATGAAGGAGTACGCACAGTCGGATTCAAGAATCCACTGCTGCGAACTGCCGGCCTCCATCGCCCCGTACAATTAATCTGTAATCTGATCGCATCTGTAATGTAATATTTACAGAGCGGCCTTCACACGAGGCGCTTGGCGTAGTTTCTTATTTTAAACAGCGGTCACGAAATGGGATGGTTTAGATTGCAGGGGCGGTGCTGCAAAGGATTGATGAATGAGTGACAGTGATAGAGGGGTGCTTCGGGGTAGGGGAGGGACGGGAATGGGTGGAGGGGCGAGCGGAGGGAAGAGAAAGGGAAGCGGCGATGGAGAAGAGGCGATGCTTAGAGAGAGGAACGGAACCAGGTTCAGCAGGGGGACTGCTTCATGTACAGGGGCAGTGTTGAGTCGATGGGCAGTGTTGAGTCTATGGGTAGTGTTGAATCTGTGGGCAGTGCTGAGTCTACGGGCAGTGCTGAGTCTATGGGCAGTGTTGAGTCTATGGGCAGTACTGAGTCTATGGGCAGTGCTGAGTCTATGGGCAGTGCTGAGTCTATGGGCAGTGCTGAGTCTATGGGCAGTGCTGAGTCTATGGGCAGTGTTGAGTCTATGGGCAGTGCCGCTCAATGCACAGGGGAAGTAGATTCCAGTGAAGCGGTGCAAGGATAGAGAAGGACCGAGGACAGGATTGGGCACAGGGAGAAGGAGGGACAAAGAGAGGGAGAGAGAGAAGATCGGGAACGAAGAGGGCGCGAGGGTACCACCCGGGCAGCCCTCCAACAGCGCATGGGATGCCCAAGCCAGGCAAGCCTCGCATCAATCAATCCCCGAGCGCAGGCCTGCTTAGATTCTGACATATTAAGAGATCCGGCGCAATCAACGTCATGATTGTGTTTTTTTGTTTGGGTCAAGTAGCTTCCTGCTCAGACGAGCAGTGATGCGGTGTCCAACTCCTCTTTACAGCCCTGAGCCAGTGGCGGAAA